CCCCCCCCCCCGGCGCGCTCTCGTCCTCCTTAGACTTCGCCATATATGGCCATCGATCCCAGCAACGCATACCACACCAGCGCAGTGCTCGGAGCCGCGATAGACGTCGCCACATCCCCAGTGCGCTTCTCCTCTACGGGTCTCGATGCTTGGTCTAGCGGCCGTGGCGATGGTGTCGGAGGCGTTCCTATGGCGGGAGGCGGGGGTGCTTTCGGGGACGGGGGACGAGTTCCCCCCCCAGGTCTGTTCGTGTGTTAACTTCGTTCGCGGTCGGCCGTGATATTTCTTGTTCAATGGAATGGTGTCAGTTTCGTGGTGGGACAAGAGTCACGATACTAAAGGTTTTGATGTGGTACGTGCACGGGAGCGTTCTTCCTCCTGTGGTACCTGCTCGTGCGCAAGCTCCTTCGCCTTGCATAGATTATCGTCGACAAAATTCGACTCCTCTTTTGCTCATTGGGCTCGTGACGAAACTTGGGGCACTTTTGGTCCCCACGATTTGCTCTGGACCTCGTGTTTGTAGCGTGACTCGGAAGCTTTGTTCCTGGTTTTGCCGTCGTGGATGGTTGTACTGAAGCCCGAACCTTCTTCCGTTGACATCGAGGGCGCCAACCGGGGCTTGCCATCGATATGAAAACAAGTCCTAATACGGGAGAAAAAGGCTAGGGTTTGTGTCTTGTGTGCTGTATGCCAACCTTCTGGTTGCAGCGCTTCGTTACTCCGTTCTGGCTCTGAAGACTTGGACATGTCCATCGGATAGGTTATGGGTTTGTTGTTTCGGGGTGCAGGATGGGAGAACCCTCCTTTGTCTACAGCAAGGCCGGGTGCCGCCTGTGTGCACGTTGTCCTTTTGTACGTGTGATATTCGGAGTGGCTGGTTTGGGATTTTCAGGAGAAGTCCATCAAGTGGTGGAAATCTTCGTGTGGTTTCCGCACCGGTGATCGAGATGACCGCTCCGCACCCAGACAGACATGCATCGCTCTTTTTTTTTGTCGAGTGTTCCGTATCTGTTAGCACGCGTCGTCAGCTCAGCTCACGCAGGAAACTGCGAGTGCTTTCCCTTCCCCCATTGTTGCGTTTATTTGCTTGGACTCTGGACTGACTCGTTCAGGCGCCGACATGACTCTCGCTACTCTTTCGGCGTGGCTCCCGCTACCCCACCCCGACGCCTCCGCCGAGACCCTGGCGCGGCTGCTCTCCGAGCACGCCACTTCTTCTCGAGACGCTGGCAGCAGCGATGACCCTTCTTTGGCGCCGTCGGCTTCGAAGATGGTGTCCCTGGGTCCAGTCGCGAGAAGACGTCGCGGAAACCTACGCCGGGGAAGGGGGAAGTTGCTTGTGCCGCCGTCTGCCGCTGGGGGGGAGCGTGTTTCCAGGGTTTACTCCAGGAAGATCGTTTTGAGAGGGTGCACTGCCCCTCGAGATCACCAGCTTCACGCCCTTGAAGAGGTACGGTGCTCAATCCCTCTATGAAGAGGTACTTGTGAGGTGCCTGATCCCCCACCGTTGGTGCAGCTACTCAACGCGCTGGTTGTCTGTGGTTCTGTGATTACTGCGTGCTGGCTCTAGGCCCGACGTCTGATTGATGGCTGCCACGTCTGGGCCGCTGTGTACATTTCGCCGCTAAATGGCCGTTTCCGAGAGCGCCGTGTTGAGATATTTCAACGCTTTGGCGCTCCGATTTGTCGGCTTTCCCCCCACCCCCCCCTCCCCAATGGCCATGGCAGGTCCTTGGCCGCTCTGCGGTTGGGTCCGGCTGTTCCTACTCGGTGTCCACCCCCCTCCCGATCCCGATAACGTATCCTCTCATCTTCCGTGAGTCGTTGGGCGTCAGGGGCGAACTTATGCCGTCGGCAGGGGCATCACGAGCTGCTGAGTGGGCTTCGGGTGGAGCCAGCGGTAAGGGAGGGGGCGGAAGAGGCGCGATCACTTCAGGAGAACTGCGCGTCATGTGCGACCATATTTCTGGGGTGGCGTGTACCGAGCGGGATTCTCGCATGGGGAGCTTCATCTCGCAGGCCAGTTGGTTGTGTTTATATATGTTATCAACTACTGGTACCTTGTAAATGCTGCAAGTACTGAAGTGCAAGATAGCCTCGTCTTGGGTGACTACCCTGAGAGGCCAGTGTGGAGGGCTTGTTTCAGTTAACTGCCCGTGCTTCCCCGTTGTTACTTGATGAGGTGAACGTGGGCGTTGGTCTCCTGTACAATGCAGACTAAACACAAAAGAACCGAGGTCGAATTGTGTTGTACCGACTTGCATTTTGGCGGAAGGGTTGAGATAACCCACAGCGTCTATACGTTCTTTGCTAGCGATCGCCAAGGCACAAGGGGTTGACCGCGCTCTGATTGGCCATCTGTTGTTGATAGTATTGTCGCGCGTGTGAGCATAACGGCGACCGGCTTTCGCATGTGAGTGCCTCGAGTATCCTTTTTTTCGGCATTCGTGCAACGTAGAGGAAATGACAACCAGGTGAAACGGAGCCTTTTCCCCTACTCCTCCCTTTATGCTGTATGGACCGGTCTGCTAAGAGTGGGACCTTTGATATTGATGCGATTGCGCCGCTGCCGAGGCGACATCAAAGCTAGCACCAACCCCAGCTTTGATTTTTTTCCTGAAAACATTTTTTTTCACATCCTGTATGGATGTGTGCCTCGTTTATCTTTTGACAAACGGTATCCACATTTTTGTTCGAATCCGGGCCTACACACAACAGACGCCCTCTTGGAGCTATAGAGGACGGCCTTTGGAACATCGAACAACAGTATCGCAGTCTAAGGGCGTGTTCAAAGTCTGGGTATCTCGTCTCAACGATTGTCATCCCCTGGTGCAAAGATGGATTGTGTGGTCAATGCCTTATCCCTTCAACTTTCATGTGTTCCCCTTCTCCCCTGCTGTAGGTTGCGGCAGGATTGGACGTGAGGCGAGGGGGCGTGCCCCTGGAGCTAGAGAAGAATGACATGCATAAGGATGACGCCATCGAAGTGTTGGAAAATCTGACTACTTTGGCGGAGAGCTACGGCTACTCCAAAGACGAAGACGAAGAGGAGGACACGCGTTAGAGTTGGTTATTGCGTGGTAGACGTGCTTCGTTGTCGGTGGTTGCTTCTCGATAGGGCCGTCTCCAGCGAAGAGAGGGTGGAGAGAGGAGGAGAGTTCTCCCAAACCACAGCGGCTCTGCTTGCCTTTTCCCGGCAGATGCATGAGAGGCGACCGTTGATCGTATCGATGCTTGGTGCGGCAAGCGTCGGGGGAAGGATACCTGTATAGTCTACCTACCTGCCGCTGGTAGAGAGAGAAAAGGTGCCCGCAGTTTTCTGATTGGCCAATTTTACACCTTTTCGAGGCCGGCGGAGCTCACTGCGGTTGTGGCGATGAAGGTATTGAAGCTTGCTGTTAGCGACCCAGCTGCCAGTCATCTACTGTAGATTCCCTGATGCACTGCTGCTGTCCTCGGAGTGGTATCGCAACGGGTGCTGCCACATTGTTGTTTGCTCGGCGTGAACGCGTACGCATTCCCCATCCAAAAAATCTCGATTGGTGTAGCTCAGGACTGTGAGGCGCAGGTGAGGCGGAGGAGCATCTGACTCCCTGGCTCACAGCACACCGTACATCCTGGAGCTGGAAAAGACGAGAACACGACCGGCTTGGGCTGGCGGGTAGTCCTTATGATGAAACGGCCGCGAGACTTGTAGACTGGAACGGTAGTAGAGATCCAGCGGGTAAAGATTTCCCTCCAACATTTGTGCTGCGGGGAATGGGCAGATCCATATGGCGTTGAGCTTATATATAGAGCCTAGGGTGGATCAGGTGTTAGATACCAGCCGTCGTTTTGTAGTCGTCTGTACCGGCTGGCTCATGACATGATTTCAAATTTCAAATTTTAAAGAACATAGAGCCTACAGGCAGCAGTTCATCAAATTGCAGTGGAGTTGGCACTGCAGCGTGAGGGGCCGCATTTTCGTCATCAATGGAGCTCAGGCTGTGCTTCACGACCCGTGCTTCACCCTTAAGCTGGGATGTGGGTGGAGCTTGGTGATGAGGAGAGGAGGTCGTGCTGCCGCTGTTTCTGACAATACTGCTGATCCTGGTTGGATCTCTCATGCGTGCCCCCCGCCCAGACGAGGTATAGGATTTTTCAAATTCCTCGCTGCGGCTCCCCCTGGTGCTGTGGGTGGCCTCCACGCCCTCGCTCTCACTTCACTCCGACGCCGCCCACATTGGCTTCTCGTCCCGTCGCCGCGCACAGCACACTCACCCACACACGCACGCACGAGACAGAGAAGCGAGTAGCACTCGACGGCCTCTTCTATCTTTGGCCGCGCGTTCATGCTGACCAATATCGGCAAGTAGCTTCGTGGAGGGCCATTGAAACATGCACCATCGAGAAAACGCCCACCGCACCATCGCCGAAGCGCTTGCCCGCGAGGTACCGGAAGCGGCTCACCTCCAAGCCATCAGAGATGCCTGCGCAGCAACCTCACCTTCTTCCTCTGTGGACAGCCTGGAGAAAGTTCTGGAGACGTCCGCCTTCCTGCTGCTGTGCCCCGAGCAGACGGTGCGGGTGGCTCGGGCCGTGGGCCCCTTCCTACTTGAGTCCGTTGCACGAGCGCTCTCGGCCGCTCGCGCTGCTTCCGCTGGGTCGTTGCACCCCACCATCGCCGCACCAGAATCCAGTGTAACCATCAAGATGAACTTGAGCGTGGCTACCGTCTCGCCCGCGGAGCGTGCCGAGGACGTGCTGGTGGCCATGAGCCGGCTGTTGCCCATGGCGCCGCACGCGCTGCCGCTCGCCCTGCAGCACTGGCGGTCCTCGCCTTCCCCATTCGACTGCATCACGACGCTGACAGCAACAGCAGCAGCATCGTCGTCCTCCAGTATCAGCGTCCAAGAGGACGAGACGGCCGCGTCCGTGCTGCTGCAGAAGCGCGTCCACAAGGTCGCCGAGGCTGCGCACAAGCTCCTCTCGTGTGCTTCTGTGAGCCGGAGCATGGCCGCCCTGTGGAACTGGTCTCCCTTCTTCGGTCTCTGTCGCCATCGAGACGCCCTGGTGCGGTGGCGTGCCGTAGGGGTGTGCTCCTCCCTCTTGGGCCTGGACGAGCAAGGCCGACGACGGCTACTGGAGACGGCGAGGGCACTGGACGGCGGCCCGCCTTCGTCCCAAGACACGACACGGCCGTGCCAGAATCAAGAGCAGCAGAAAAAAAAAACGTTTCAGGGGGGAACATCAGCAGAAGAATCCACGGCGAAGCCTGGGAGCGGGAGGCGTGCTGCAGTAGTTCTCGACGGTAACGATGCGAAGGCAATCTCGAAAGCCAGGCTCGACCTCTTGGATGATCTCCGTCGCGCGCCGTCTGCCCTGGTGCCGCCACCGCCGCCGCCCGTACGTGAACGGCAAGAAGAGTCTTCGAGATCGGCTGCTGCGGCGGCGAGGTTTACCTTTCGCCACCACCCATCCGTAGCCGACATCGGCGGAATCTTGCACGCAAAAACCGCCCCCCCTCCCAGCAGCAGCAGCAGCAGCAGCAGGGAGCAAGACCATCGGCATGGCAAGGGTGGAGGAGGAGTGCCCATGCTGGTGCCAACCGCTTCTGCCCGCCGGAATCTTTCCTCGCTTTCCCTCGCGCTCACTGTCGACCGACCGATCCTGCTTCACGGCCCCGCCGGATCGGGGAAGAGCCTTCTCGCCAGGGAGGCCGCCCGCCTCATATCCAACTCGGGAGGTATGTGCGCTTAGGATATCTTATGTGTTGTGTGCGTTTTTGCCGTTGCGATCCTTGTCTATCGTCGTCTTGCCTGTGTAGCTGCTGAATACTTGAACGCCCCACCCGCCGTAGCTACACGGATGAGGATTGACAGCCTGAAATAACGCTTCAAAAAGTTTTTTTACCCGCTGATGCAGACCCGCCAGGATACTCGCCCGCTGCTGCTGTCCACATAAAGTTTAATTCCTCTCGAGTCTTCTAGTCAGCCGGTATGACGGTCAGGCCGCAGCTGAAAGTCCAACCCGTAATATTGAACCAACCACGGCAATCAATTCAAAACGATATACATGTACTCACTAATCTAGCCGCTTCGCCCCACGCCGCATTAAACCCCATCCCGTGCGAAGCAGACGGCGTCGATCCCGACCCCGGAGCATCATCGACCGCCCTCCTCGAGCTGCACCTGGACGACCAGACCGACAGCAAGTCTCTCCTGGGCGCGCACGCCTGCACCGATGTCCCGGGCGAGTTCGCTTGGCGCCCGGGGGCCCTTACCCACGCCGCGGCCGCGGGCACCTGGGTCCTCATCGAGGACCTCGACCGAGCCCCGTTTGAGGTGTTGGCGGCGATCGGCCCGCTACTGGAGGGCAGGCCTCTCACCCTTCCGGGCAGGACGAGGCCCCTGATCGCGGCACCGGGGTTCCGGGTGTTCGGCACCGTGACCACCGTCGGGGCCGGGGGGGTCGTGTTAGGTGGGGCTGCCGATTTTGGGGCCCTCTGGACTCACGTGAGTCGTTCGTTTGTTTTGTTGTTTGTTGCTGTCTGCTTTCCTTGAGCACTGTAGGGTGTGTGCCACTTGCGGCTGAGGATATGGAGGGTGACGAAGATTTTCCTGCATTCGTGTCCGGTTGTTTTTGCGAGGGATCTTGATGAGCCCTGAACGAAACAAAAATTAAAATTTGCATGTAACGTGTATTCAACGAACATACATGTTTTTTTTTTGCTGGCCAGTCGCCACCAAGGTTGGATTGAGACGCTCGTCCTACCCGCTCAACCTCGACAAAAAACCCTCTCAACCCACGCCACGACTCCCGTGCTTGCACCACCCCGCCATCGCCCTCAGGTCCCAGTCGAACCCCTTTCCGTCTCCGAAACCCTGCACGTGGCCAAGGCCCGATATCCTGGGCTTCCGCTGCCGGCCCTCAAGCGCATGCTGAGGACCATGGTGGCCGCCAAGAGCGGCAATAGCGGCTGCGGAGGTTTCGGGTCCGCGTCTAGGTCTGCCGCGGGGCGAGAGCCTGGCGTCCGCGACTTCTTGAAGCTGTGCGCCAGGGTCGACACTACCGGCGTGTTCGACCGTCAGGATAAGGCTGAGGTAAGTCGGAATCTGGCGCGGTGGATGGTTAACGTGGACAAAGTGATGTGCAGCGAGTGGAGATCTTGTCCTGTGTCCGGTTGAGTTCCAGCGTTGAATGGTTGCGGGAAAGATTTTCAAGGAGTGGAGATGTTGACGTCTGTCTCGGTTTGTTCCAGCGTTGCTTGTGAATGTTTGTACTTTACACGATAATACTTTGGCGCCCACACTCTCGGCCGAGGGTATCACAAAGTGTAACATGGTGAACTTTGACCCAATTGTTTAGGTCGCACGCTCAAGGTTGAGGTCGAACCGAATGTAAGCAAACAGCAGGCACTGTAGACCGGGTGATGTTGGACACCTTTTGTTTAAAGCAATGGCAGCAGCAGCGGTGACTGTGTTGGCTCTGCAAAAGCCGCACCGTACGCAGTACACCTCCTTTGAAAACGAACGCAATGCCTACATCAAGTCAGCGGTGTCTATGAACACCGCTGTCCCCGAATGTTTGAGACCGTCGCCCGCACACCTCCGGGCGATCGTTATAGGAATTTCGGGAATATTTTGTATATTTTGGTCTTTCCACTCGTTTTCCGAAGAAATAAACACCCAGGTCATGAGCAGCAGCGCTCGTGTACTGTTTGGATATGCTAGTTGCACACTAAACATGCATCCGCACGAGTGAGTTTCTTCTGCCGTGCCTGGCGTCTTTGATGGTCAAGGCCCTTGATTGATGGCCGTGCACTTGCCCATTATATCCATTGAATTTTGAGCATGGACCGCGCTAACCGCCTAACCAAGAGAAGAGCGGTTTGTTACCGAACGTGTTGTGGGGCTAGTCCACGCGTACATGTTCCCATGGAATGTTCCCATGGAATGTTCCCATGGAATGTTCCCATGGAATGTTCCCATGGAATGCGCGAGGCGGTTGTGGCGTACAATAGTTGTGTACAGACATGCCGTGTATCCGACATGTGTAGCAAAATGACAAAAGTACTCGGTGATATCGACAAAAACTCCGTGACAAAGCCAAGTAAGTTGGTCGTACAATTCGTGGTAACAAAGTAAGTAAGAATTGAGTTCAACATGTCTCGAATCCCTATGCCAGCAAGTTATTTGATACTCCGTTCATCCGGCCTGTATCTGTGGTGTTTAATTTCATATCATCTAATCGACAGGTATCCATGTCGAACGAGTGTGGTCCACAAGGAAATGATGTTGAAGAAGATGGAGAAGATGATTATCACCTCAACGACGAAGATGGGTGGTTCTGCAGCGAGGCCCAGGCGCTCCCTGTTGTGGTGGAGTCTCTCGATGTCTTCGCCGGTCACCTTACCACTAAGGTTAGGGTGAAGGTTAGGGTAGCGACACATAAGTACCCGGTTGATACGCGTCTCGTCGTATCGGCACAACCAAGAGGTGCGGCTTGCGAATGATAGGTAAGTTTTCATCACCCGAAGCGTTTGACCACTTGGGCTTTTTTTTTTGTAGCCGACTTTTGGACTTGACGCGATAGGAAAAAAAGAGTTTTTCCTAGCTCCCTGCGTACTTGAATGGCGTGCTCGTGCGCCTTAACTGCAAGGCAACACGTACAACCCCAACACCACTGTCAACCTGGTGTTTTTCTGTTTTCAATGCACGCATTTCAGGCCGCGCACGTCGCGTGAGTATCTTTTTTTGCTGTCGAGATTCAAGAAGGGGGTACTCGTCAACTTTTGTGAGAGTGCTGTGCTTTGTCTGGCAATCTTGGTGGTATTATAGTCCACACCGGTTGATGGCCTCATTTTCATGGTATGATATTGAACTCTCCGTCCTTACTGTTTCGCCAATTTTCAAACAGGAAGCTCGAGCACACGCGGCAGAGGTGATTGCCGGTCTTTGGAACGTTCTCGCCTCCAAGGCAGTCGAGATCGCCACCACTACCAGGCCAGAGTTTGTTGAAGCGCAAGACTACCTGAAGATCGGCCGAGTCACGCTGCCGAAGGTGCCTCAGGTAATGTGTTTCGTTCGTGGCAAGAGTTCCCCTGCCGACGCGGTTCATCCCTCCGACGTGAGATGTGTGTTCCAAGTCCCTATAAACGATGGTTCGAGGACGTGTTCCTTGAATCGTCGACTCATCCTTCTTCCGGACGTCCTCCGATTCGTCATTTTTCTTAAAAAAAAAACACACAGGCGAAATGCGGCGGCACGGCATCCTCTTCGTTCGCCCCCACGTCACACGCCCTCCGTCTCATGGAAACCCTCGCTGCATCCGCGCAAGCCTGCGAACCTGTTCTCCTGGTGAGTTGTTCTCTCGTCTTTTTTTTCCTTTTGCCGTGGCGAAACTCACATTTGATTTTTAACGCCACGTTTCATAGACATAACCAAAGGCTTCAACCGCAGCACTTTGGATGCAACCCAGTTGCTAAGGTGGCAGTCATCACAATCGTGTGGTGTGTGCAAATGTATGTACAGTAGTGCCAACCGTGTATCAATGGGAGTGCCTGTCGACAACACATTCCCAAAGCGTCTCGTAGATAGGGTGCTTGACGGCTTGGTGCAAAATGTTCGCCGTGTAAATTTTTACAATGATGCTCCTTGTAGCCGAAGATTGAATTGGAAGCTTCAGGTGTTGGTTGCCTTTGATTTTTTTCGTTCATGATATGCATTCTGTAACTGTGTCCGTGTCGTCAAGTTGTTGAAGTGGTACCCTAGCAGCAGCAGTGAAGGTTACGAGTCGCAATGATGGACACGATACGGTTATGAGCCTGAAAACATGCTTGTGGAAAGCACATTCGCGGAGCGACTCTTTTTTCCGTCTTACTACCCTCGTCTGGACACCTTGTACTATTCAGTATTTTGCAACATCCTCAACGACAGAAAGTTATTGTTGACATACTTGTGGGTTTGGGTTGAGCCGATCGCGAGAAAACCTTTTTCCGAATGAGAGATGATGCGTCGACTATGGTACTACCTTCGACCGTGGGTCGTCGTTTGAGTTGAGATGAGAATACTCCTGCTCAAACTGACGTGGCTTTTCTTAGCTTGTACCGAAGGACTAACAGACTGTAGCAGTCCAATAATGAATAACTTTCAATACTGCAGTCGATGAAGGTTGAAAAAACATTACATTAGTAGACGAGCACCTCGTATTCTGAGGGCTTGCCATGGCTGCGGGTTCAAACTTTTTTATGCGAAAGTTCCGGGGCCTTATGGCACATCCCTTCGTTCCAAGAGGCACAGTAAACTCTGGTTGAGATGCTGGAGGGCCGCCGCCCTAGACCCCCTATCGTGTTTGGGGGCCTTGGGCTGTGGCGGCCTTCATTATCCCACTCGACCAACAAATTTTTCTCGCATTTTTTTTTATAATTGGTCGTGATGCCCGACGTTCGGCGCAGCACCGGGCAAAAAATTGGAGGATTGATATGATTGTTTCGTTCGGTCTGGATGCCCCCGAAAATAAAGCGCATTGCAGTTTAGCCGTGTGCGGGAGAGCTTTGTTTAGAATCCCTCTCCGTCCGTCACGCCAAGTCCGATGTTGTGTCTGTCCAGTATGTAACGTTTCGAATGTTGCGCACCGTCCATCGCCGCATGAGGTTCTTGTTGGTTGCTGGTGCTTCTGAATCTTGGCTGCAACGGCCTTATTGATGTTAATACCATTTGCGATTCCCCGGCCGAAGGAACGTGGCCGTTTTACTACCGTCCCAACGCAACCAGCTCAGCTCAGCTCCACTTGACAACGCCGACTCTTTGTGGCACAGGTAGGGGAAACAGGGTGCGGCAAGACCGCTCTCGTCCAACGTCTCGCGGAAGGCACGGGGCGTAACCTGGTGGTGCAGAACCTTAGTCTACAGACCGACGGCGCCGACCTGTTGGGAGGATATCGACCCGTCGAACTGAGACAGCTGGCGGAGGTAAGTGGAATAGATGCAATCCCCGGTTGTTTCGTGTTGTTTGTACTGTTGCGGTCGTTTTCGGGTTTGCGGAAAGGAATGACCCGATGTTTTGTTAGTGCATCGGAGGCGTCTTCGTGTCGGGTGCGTAAATTCTAGTTCTTTTTTTCGCAATCCACATTTTTTGGGTTTCAAAAGTTGAGACGCTTCTTTAACTTAGGGTTTGCACCCAGCAATTTTTTTGGATTCGGCACAATCAATGTTCTCGGCAGTGGGTTGATTGTGTTGGTTCACTGATGCGCTGGGTTTGGCCACGTACAGACCGGTTTATCGAAAGCTTCTGCTTGTCGCAACCCAAGCCCTGCGAACAAGCCAACCCATGAACTAACTCCACGCCCATAACTTTCATTAGGTAAAGTCTAATCAATAGGCGCCTATCGCTGCCTGGCGTCCTACAGCAAACGATTTCATCTTTCAAGTAGCACTAATAATCTCTCGTCTCGACTTGATTCGAACCCCACGTCGGATGAGTTTCATGCCAGTGCCAGATAAAAGCCAAGGCCCTTTGTAGTGGAGGGCTCGGTACGACTCACTTTGCCCCCCTGTCACGGCCTCCAGTCGTTGGGAGGGCCATTTAGTCGCACCATATTTTTCATATTTTGATGTACTAATAGATTATGTCGGCAGACAGGACCACGCAAGTTATGAGGCCTTGGCCGTTGCTCCATATTTGTCTTCAGTGTCGCGTCTACCGGAAACGCGCGGAAAATATAATGGGGTTGCGCTTATGAACCCCCACGACTTCCCTCTGCCTCGAAGCTAAGAACAAGCATATTTGTGAAGAGCTGCTATGAAGCGTTCAATGCCACGTCCAAAACCGTTGCAGGAAAATTTGCACCGGAATTAAACGTAGCTGGGAAGTTGATCTGAATAGCATGTTACCTCCAAGGCTTCGCAGAACACGCGTTCGTGAAAGGTTGCACCAGAATTCGTTCCAGTCTAGTAATGTCGGTGAAAACCAGCTCTGGCGTACATAGGTCGTCTACTGTCTTGTGGATTGGACCATATTGAGCGTAGTTGACCTTGGTGCGGGAGGCTGGGCATTGATTATGCACCGGCTGCACGGCATGGCGATGAAACGATGACGGAAACAGAAGCAGTTGTGAATATTGACAAGAACAGGGAGGCCGCAGCCGCAAACTTCCTTCCATCGCAGAGCAGGAAAAATGTCAACAACGAGCCTCCCATGCGGCTTATCGCCAGTTGCGTTCTACCCGCGGGTGTTCGACATGTAGACGTTACCTGGAGGTGGACCGCGTGCGGAGCTACGTGCTGCCGTTGTTCTGGCGGTCCGTTTTTAGCAACTTGGTGGCGTCGGCCTTGTTGTCTGTTGGCAACTGCTTCAGTATTTTTAATTATCATAAACGATGCGCTTGACATCTCTTCACCGAGCTTACCCCGTGCACTTGACATCTCTTTACCGAGCTTACCCGTGCATCGTAGCCGTTATGGAAAACCATGATGCCATGAAGAAGACTTTATGCCCATTGGCGTGCGACACAGATCTCCTAATGGCCGGCGCTCGGTACGTGGCGATTTCGATCTTATCAACATGCCACATCCGGAAACACTGCAAGAGCCTTTGGTCGTGCGTTACGCGAACGTATGGAGTACCGGCTTCCGAAAACCTTTGATACCCCCCCTGAACCGGTAGCACTTGCGCTTGGGATTCGATAAAGCGCCCTGTCCACACGCCTTTACACTGCATCCGTCGTTTTCAAAGCGCGAGCACTGGTCTTCCAGGAAGAGAATTGCGTTATATTCGAACTGAATGTTTCTTTTGAATGAAAGTGAGCTTGGGAGTAAATGCTTTCGCCTTGCAGTATTGCTGCCGCGTACGCATCAACCGTGCGCCTGCTGTACGGTAGGACAAAAACACGACGAAGGAACCTTCGGCAGGTATCGATGTTGTATTATAGCAAGGCCACTGCCACGGACTTGCCAAATGACGAACCGCATGAACACTGACTACAAGGGAAGAGCTGCCCTAGGAAACCATCGCCCGGTGGCATCTACCGTAGACGTTTCACTTACACCTGCTGAGCCACGTAGTAGTCGCCCACCCATTAGAAGCTGTGCTACTTGGCGATGGTCGTCATTTCATGCAGATCTTCATTTGGAAAGTCGGTGGCAGCGGTTCTGCTAGTTTTGAGAACAGTTATTACCCAGTTATTACGTTATTATCACTGATTGTTCGACGATGTGTTTACAGTTCGTTGCCGTCGTCCCGCGAGCATCCTCTGATTTGATCGTGATGTCACTCCTTGTCCTTTTTTAGTAACTTTGGTTTTCGTTCTACGCGCAATCGAGTGTGTTGTAGGAGAAGCACGATGACTGGCAGAGCCCGGTACGGCCTTTTATTTGCAACTCCAAAAGCTACCCCTTCCATGGTTCGCAATACACATCCAAACTCTGTACTAGCGCTATCCACTCGGCCACGAACGAAAGCGGATAAACACTCACTTTGCAGAAAAGCTCGCTTCCACCGGGATTTGAACCCCTCACCTGACTTGTAGAAGGGATCGAGAATACCAACTAGACCACGGGGGCAACCGGCTACTTGTTGTTAACCGATAAGCATTGTTGCGGCACTAACCCATTCCTCCCTCCTGTTGCTTCGGCTGCCTTCCAGGAAGTGTTACGTGAGTTTTTGCGGCTTTTCCCGCTCCTGTTCAGCGCCACCCAAAACGCGAGGTTCTGTCAGGCCATAACATCCTCCTTCGAACGAAGGCAGTGGAGCCGACTCTCCAAAGGTCTGAGGAACGCGGCCAAGATGGCAATCGACAAGGTCAGTTCCTCTTCCCGTCTTACCGTCTCTTCCGCTTTGTTTTGGACCATTGCGAGAATTCATGGGAATGGTATGGAATGGTATGGAATGGTATGGTATTGCATGGGTCCAAGTTCTATGCGAAGGTCGATGACTTGGTTCCGAATCTGGATGTGGTATGCAGGGCTTTGCGCGTTCCACTCTCGACTTACGTCCCGGCCGTGAAACCGACATATCGGTGGCAAGGGCTCGGTGTCGTGACTTGATTGCGGAAGGTCTGCGAGAGTTGTGTGAAGTCAGCCAGCCTTGCCGTCGATGTGAGGAGAGAACATCCTATCACAGACCTGTTCTGTAATTGGCGGGAGAGCAGCCTGTAGGGATGGTTGCGCTGCAAAGCGTTTCCGGAACTTGAGCTATTCTGTCGACCATCTTTTGAAGATTCAACATGCACCACTATCTGATCGACAATTGGCAAGGCTGGCTGGCAGATGAATATATGTGAATGTAACTGCTTGGTGGCATCCGTACCGCCCCGCGCGATTTATTGGGTTTGTGCCCTGTTTGAACGCTTGGCTCGTTTGTGGGAACGGTACCAAGAAGTCACGCACAAGGACTGCTGCTTCGTTAAGTCGCCGACCGAATCGAAAGGGAGTGTTTGCCTTTTTGAGGTGTCCTTGCTTTCTTTCGAAATTTGCGTTCGAGATGATCGGGTTGGGTAATGCCGCTGCCGTTGCACGATCATTGTACTCATCCTGCATGGGCGCCTTCCCATTTCTCATGAAGAAGCCGCGTTGCAAGGACAAAACCTAGGGCTGCAGCACAGTATAAATCCGAACAACCTTTTCATCCCAGATAGGGTGCTAGGGGAACGATTGTGATCCAGGCCCCGGTTATGTTTTGCAACGTGGCGTGGTGCAGGAAAAATTAAGGTGGCTAAGCATGCGTGTCGGTTGTGGAACACTAATGGTTATCATCCAACTCATGATCGGGGAAGGCCTTTCATTTCAGTCCACGGATAAGGGCGGGATCGAGCTCACGGCAAGGGTAGAAAGCAAGCCGACGCCGCAGGTTTTACCCAAAGAGTGTCTACGGAGTTGCCGGAAAACGAGTTGCTTCGTTCGGCGGACCGTGGGAAGTTCGAATGCAGTTGACGGTAGCAACCCTCACCCCGTCACCCTTATGCATGCAGAATGTGAATTGAACAAGGTTTTCGGGCAAATGCGGCAGTCTGATGCCTTCGACAAGAGTCGAGGCAGAGGCATTGCCGTATGATTTGTGGTCCTATCTGTCCACCTGTGCATCCGTCGAGGCGAGGGTTGATCACGTTCCTCTCCACTGTGTCGAAGCGTTATCGAGCGCCTGCCTTGATTCACAGCAGTCGCCATGCAGCCGAGCAGCTTTGTGGCTGTGGTGTTCCAACGGGTGGCTGCCCATTGTGTTTGGACGATGTCAGATACCGTTCTGATATTTCCGGTATGCGCCTGCCGCGGTCCAGGGCACAAATAGGCTTGTGAAGACACCCGTCGTGTAATATGATCTTCGATGAGTATATATTAGGTGGAGCTCCTTTGACAAACCCACTTGTCGACGCTACTTCACTCGACGTTTTTTGGACAACGAACTTTTGTAGGGAGGTGGGCGGTGCTTGAACTTTTCTCCCGCTTCCCTCCTGTTTTCCGTGTCGGCACTCCGTCGCACAAAGAAATCATGGTGATGGTGAAGTTGCTTTCCCTGATGTCTATCCTCTTTACTGTGCATGGTTCTGGAAATTGTTGAGAACGTTATCAGATCCGTCCCTCATAACACATGAGTATCTGCGTGACTGTTCATTCTTCCTATTTAGTGTGGAATGAGACAGTGTGCTCACCTCTCGCGGCCGGTGAAGACACCCCCAGAAACTCCTTATCCCATACTATACTCAACCTCTGTTTTTGTAGTATCGAAGAAAATGTCCGTTCGTGGTGCCCTCCTTGAGACAAAGAGTATTTATTGAATCGGGCGGTATTCAGGGGGTTCAGTCCCATCCATGCATGGCTCGTGGCTGCACGTCCCTGCTGTAACGCTATGCATGTATCGAAACATGGAATTCAGCCATGACCAACGTGTGCAGTAGCAGCAGTTCCTGAGGTGTAGGTGTAGATGACTCGAAGGCGTGGTTGACGGTGTCTGAGATATTCATGTGTACGCGAAGCAGCGGAGATCATATTGCTCCTTTCACCAGGACCTATTAATATTCAACGAGCGACAGAAATGTGTTCTATCAACGACCAAACCTCGATGATCTATGCCCTAACGTTTACTGCGACGCAGTATTGCTGCCTTGATTGTACCATGTACACACGAAAGACAAATTCCTGCGTTGGGAGATGACCCGCGGATGGTGCGCTCCGCTACCTTCGCTTTCTAACCCTGTTTCGTCCGTGGTTGGCCCTCGTTGTGACTGCAGCTTGATCGATCAAGATCGGAGCCCAATGACGACGCAACTGGTTCGGATGCCCGCATACAGCCAGAGAACAGCGTCAAGGTTCCTCGGGCTTGTTCTGCCGGGGGATCGACAAGCCCTTCGGGGCAGAGGCGCGACTGGGAACGGTTCAGCAGCAACGCAGAGCGGTTCGAGCGTCAACGGTGAGTGAGGCTTGAACATGGTAGGCGTGATTGCTGACCTTTCCGCTGGAATGTGAGGAATTGGCACAAGGCAATAGAATGAATGAGGCAGTGTGCGGGTAATGCCCTCTTTCGACACGAGGGTTGAGACGATCATTTTCCCTCCCAATCCACGGGTGCGGTGCGTTCGGTATTTCCAGCATCGTACTTCAAGGCTCGAAAATGTGAAAGCAGGTCTTGTTGTATTCCTAGCGTGGAGCGAGCGCTGCGACAGACGATCGACGGTGCAAATGTTCCCGATCGTGCAAACTCCTTAACATGTTCAGCTCCAGTTCAAGGTCTGTATGACTGGATGCAATCTCGTTTTCTTTTTTCGTATCGGATGATTGTAAACACTGCAGAAGAATGGGCTGATGATTCAACTAAAGTTTGAGAACTGAATTCCTTCGCCTTGCGAAGGAAGGGAGACAGCATAACCAATTGAAGCCCTGTTGGTTCTTAGCGCGCTTCGCGATGGCATAAGCGAAAACCTCTTGAACCGAATGACGAGAAAGTCGTGTTGAAGAGAGAGGTCTTGTGGGTGATGTACACCCCTCTCTTGAACAGTACCCCCCACTGTATGGCGAGCGAGTGTTGGCGTTCTCATAATTATCGTGCGTCAGGGCACGCAATTCGAACCGTTAATGCATCGACTCTTCTTTGAACGTGTCAAGACGGTGCCGGGGCTACGTTATCGTTTTCCGTTTGACGCTTTGTGATCTTCTCTCATCACGCCGCTCTTTGCCGTTGCTGCGGCGACCACCAGGGCAGCAGTGGAAGGCTCGTTTGCGTTTTCCTTCGTGGAAGGTGTTCTGGTCAGGGCCATCCGGGAAGGAAAATGGGTGTTGCTGGATGAGATCAACCTCGCGTCCGCCGAGACTCTGCAGAGACTATCGGGGCTGCTTGAGGTATGTCTGTGCAACATGCAATCCACGGCACCCCAGTGTTTCGTGAAGTTCTTGTTCACGAATTATTTGAAATTGTTTACTTGACGGTTTTTGGCAAGAATGACTTGGAGTCCAAGCACCCCTCTGTGCGGTTCTTGTGGTTGCATTGAGTAGGTTGGGTTTCTGGTGGAATAAAAGCGGAGATGATGCCAAAAACCAGCTACTCTGAACAAGGGCGCTTAGTCTCGTCGCAAGCCGGGCATCCCGCCTCGGGGTGACTTGGTTCGTGTCGAAACCTCATACTAGATTCCGACTGATCCGCTTTCCCACCATTGTTGATTTTTTTTTACATTTTTCCTTGTGCCGTCACACATACGTGAAACCTTTGCGTTGCCTCGAGCCGCCATCCGCAGTCAATAGTCATGGATTTTTGGCGGGGGGGGGATGGTGATGAACCGTCCCCGATCAAGGTCTGAAATTTTTATTACATATGAATACCCGGACATAGATGTAAATGGTGGATTCTTTTTTGTTTCGTACTGTATTTGGCCGGGTTTCAACTCACTTTCCATTTTTCACCAGGGAATTTCTCAAAACGCAACACCCCGGGATGGTGCTGAAATATCCCCGCTTTTGAATAGTTGTCAGATTGATGTTGGCATTTGTAGTCAATCTGAGTTTTTTGTCAGGGTAATCTTCGGGAGGGGATTCCGAATCCGTGGTCGATTTTGTTCATTTCCATTTTGATGTTGAGTTACAGGCACTTATTAAACAGCATCGCCTCCTACAAGAGACCATCAACAATATTTGGCTGAGCATTGGCAGAGCTCATGATCGAGCCTCTGCCCACCTGAGTGTTGGTCTGAGCAACTTTCTGAGTGGCTCTACCCCCCCTAAATCGGCGAAGCGGAAGCGATTGCCGCGGTGTTTCTCTTCGCTATGTGTACTTTTCTCGTTGCGCTTTTCTCGTTCCTTACAATCGGTGACTGTCACCATGTCGCTTTTATGGGTGCCGTTCTAATGACGTCAAACTAATGCGTCAAATGAGGACGACTTGACACCGCTTGACGATTATCGATTCGTTCAACAGGCGTATACCTACAAACCCGTGCGTAAAACCTGTGGAATGCCTGCCTTTGTGGGATCACAATCTTTGGGAGTTTGCTCAACAACGTGAATCCAGATATCATTACTCCTTCTTTATACGATACCGATACCGATACCGATACCGGTACCGATACCGATACCGATTTCCCCACAGCAGTTGTTTTGCTGTGGGGAAATCGGCCTTTTAATACGTATTGTCGCCCTGTACGTATGAATATAGTGTCACCTGGATGTGTTTCCGTTTTTATTTCCTTGTTTTTTTTGTAATCATGCTCTGCGTAACACAACACCATCGACTCAATGCCATCCTACGCTTTTTGGTAGGGTGCGGAAGGCAGCGTTTGCTTGACAGAAAGAGGCGACATGGATCCAGTGGTGCGACACCAGGACTTCAGGCTTTTCGCGGCCATGAACCCGCCAACTGATGCGTCTAAGAAAGACCTTCCTCCATCACTCCGCCGCAGGTAGGTAGACATGTAAATTTTACCTAAATGTTAAGCTTTGACTGATAAATGTTTGACTTGGCTGGAGACGTGAACCGGTTGTACATATTTTAATTGCCTCGAGACATGACCTGACATCAGTTTTGCTTGCATGTCGGTCGTTATCGAGAACCAAAATTGTCTGAGCAACGTACATCATGTCGGACTCGAGCGTCTTCAACCAGTGCATGGTCGAATACTTCAGACACGCCGCAGGATCTCATTCGAAACGTGCATACCAAAAACGTCGTATTTGTTGGCGCAGCACGTTCTTTACCAGACCCTGCGTCGTGTTGAATGGTTTTGAACACCTAACGATGGGTTTATATTGTTACGGCGGGCGATGATCGTCGTGGTTCGAGCAACCCCTAAACTGGTCGTGTGCTAGTAAACAGTCAAGAACTGGCAGTTGCTTCAAAAAAAGTTTCGTGAACTGTTTTTCTTTTTGAACGCCAGCGGCGTGTTAAGGGTCGATAACTTGATTCCCATTTCATCCTCGAGTAGGTCTTGACGTCCGCATTCGCCAGTCCTTTCGGGTCAGTGGACGAAAGGGGCATTTTTTGATGATCGACTTAGTCTTGGTGAGAATCCGATCCAGTTTCGGCCCGGCGTTTACTCTGGTTGCTTGACTGTTCGACTGTATTTTTCTAGAGATTTTCAGCAACAGCGGCATGACTTATTCATTCGCATGTTTGTGTCGACCCATGCATGGTACATATCATTAGGTTTTCCGAGGTGTACGTGCCCGAGCTCGACGACCGTCTGGACCTCAAGCAGGTCGTTGACGGTTACATCTCGAGCGGCGTGTCTGTGGACCACGAGAGTCTAGCCTTTACCGCGGTGGATCTTTACCTCTGGGCGAGAGTTTTGTCGTCGGAGAGCTTGAGCGATGGAGCTGGACAACGGCCTCGCTACTCCCTTAGGTATTGCAGCACTGCAGCACACCATGATCTTTCATGACATCACAGAGTTTGCTAAAAACATGCTCTACCGAATGTTTGGAACAGGATGGCAGAGGATAAGTGCAACATGGATGGCCGATTGCCCTGTGTTCAAGCCTTTTCAGTTTGATCCAATGTAATGTTTAAGTTTTACGCATGGATTGAACTCTAGATAGTTCTGTGTGCCTTATTAATGGCCGGTCAGGATGGGTGGTGGCACCCGTGACTTTTTTCGGACACTGTAGCTGTATGTTTCCACCCACAAGGCGCGAAATGTTGTAGGTATTTGCTCTCATTTCAACTTGAGGTTGGGAATTTTGCCGAGTGATGGCTTTTTCCGGCATTGGTCTTGGCCGTTTTAGCCGGTTTCATCGCTCGCGTTTCGACGACCTGATCAAAGTCTAGTATCATTCACCCGATAAACCCCGAACATGTCTTCTTCGTTGGCACAGGACCCTAGTCGGGGCTGTCTCATGTGCTCGCCGTTTGGTGCAACGTGGCTTCAGCCCGAAGAGAGCGATGTTGGAGGGCTTCAGGTCCCTTTTCGAAACACAGCTGGACGGGTAAGAGCACCGATTGGGTACAAGCTGTATGTTGGTTTCGGAAAACCGTCGTGGTTCGTTGTGGTTTGCTTCCACGAACCCCTGGGTTCAACCTCCACACTCGTTGCAAGTTTGGGATGAGGAGGGGGCTGCTACATGCTCCTCGTGGTTGCAACTTTGTGGCGAACGTCGCGGTAGGAGCGCCACACTCAACATCGAGATGTTCGTGGTGTGCGGCTCTTGCTGACGCCATCAATATTCATTGGCAGTTGAATTGGCGTAGATTGACGCCGGCTGTCACTGTTGAAGTAGGAGATGATCAACAAGTACAATGAACAGGGAACGCACCAACTCAAAGACTTCCACCTAACCAACAACGTTTGCGGCAATGATTTAAAGGGATGGGCGTGCAAAGATTCTGAAGGGCATTCTCCGCGCGTTCGGCAAGGGCATGGGTGCCAAGGACCTTGAGAAACCACCACGTCGTCCGGGTGGGAGGGCGTCGAGCAATGCTTCCTGGGTGAGGATCGGACCGTTTTGGCTAGAGGGAGGGCCACATGACCCTATCGACGAGGCGGAGCTAGACCCCGAAACCAACCAGCGCAGGTGAGCTGGGTTAAATGGTGACAAAATCCCTGGGTTGTGATGTATTCACAACATAAAGTTTATCAGTCGTTGTAAATCACAAACCGGTTGATAACGCAACGAGGATGAAAAGGGGAGTTGGGATTTTGCCAGATTCCCAAAAAACGCTGAAAATTTTTTGCTGAGAAAAATTCCCGCCCCTCCCCCGCCCCGCCCCGGGGGTTTGGTTTTCGTCGCTTGGCCACGACATTATACAACAAGCCGCCCCTCGGTGTTTTCCATCGGGATTGGGTTTTCGTCGCTTGGCAACGTTGTAAAACAAGCCAATTCGTTTCGTGAGCTCGATAATGAATGGCGGTCGAGTGGATCATGTTGTGCCGGGTGGAGAACCCTCACTCCGCGCAAGGGCGATGATCGCACCACTTACCACCTTGAGTTAACTCGGTCAAGCACCCTCGAGGCAGTTACACGGTGCTTACAACTGTCTCAGGAGGTGAAAGCTTCAGAAAATATAACAAGTCATACACAGCTGTCATCCGTACGCAAGCAAGTATGCACAAGATGCCGAAAGCACTTAGCAGGTTACCGTTTTGTTTCTTCACCTTTGTTTTTTTTTGGCGGTAACCATACTGGTGGCCGAGTAGATCATGTTGTGCGGGGTGGAGAGCCCACACTCCGCGCAAGGGGGATGATCGCACCACGTTGTGTTAAAATGGTCAAGCACCCTCGAGGCAGTTACACAGTGCTTACAACTGTCTCTGGAAGTGAAAGCACCAGAAAATAAATTAATTAATACGCAGCTGTCATCCGTACGCAAGGAAGTACGCACAAGATGCCGAACACCGCCGAACACCGAAACCCTAAGCAGGATGCAGCGCACCCTTGATGCGGCTCGCCGAATACCTCACGGCGCTTCGCGCTTTGTGATGTGAGAGCCTGGTCCGGTGAGAACCCGGCGTGCTCCGTTCCGGCTTTGTAGGGATGCGAGGTCAATGGTCTAACGACTACGGCATGCACGACTATGAGTACACCCCCCCCCCCTCCCACAAATCCCCCCCCGAAATTGTCACGGCATAAAACTCGGCCTGAGAATGGAAACAATGTTACTTGCTGTTTTTTGCGGTATTTCTGTAGATTTACTGAAATAGGTGAACGCTCATGCTGCTATTTTCTGAAGACACTGAATGGACAGAATTATGTCGAACTCAAGATTGCTTTTGCATGAGGGGTGTCCAATGCGGTAACTCAAAATTATTGTTTTCCAGCGGCCCGCTTAACCGATTTTTCTGGTTCTCAGGTTTGTGCTGACGGCGTCCGTGGAAGGTACCCTGCGGTGCTTGGCCAGGGCCGTGGCGTCTGCTGACTCTCCTGTGCTGCTGCAAGGTCCCACCAGGTGCGCTTGCAAATTGCCAACCCCTGCGAATGGCGGCGGTCTTATCAGCTTGTCATACCTGCACTCGTTGTCCTCGTACGCATCTTTGGATCGATATCCGCGTTGGCACATTTGCGCCCCCCGTTGTTGGAAGTACGCCTGCGAACAAGGGGAATATTGTTTTTTTTCAAGTTTTTGCTTAGCTTTGTTGCAAATGGTTGGGCAGGACAGCAGTGATGAAATACGTTATGTCGCTGATCAAATGTGAGCGAGACTAACGAACATGCCAGTTATCCCTCTGAGCTGTCTGCAGTTGCCCTTTGTAAAATAGACGTGGATCGTTAGTTTGGTACCGCTAGGTCTATGATCGAAGATGTGAAAGAACCTGAATGGTTACCAACTACTTATGTGGACCATCGTTTTACCACACACCCATTGACTGAGACCATCGGTACAAGCGCAGGAAGGTTAGTGGCGTGGTCTGTATCGCTGTGTAGGTTGTGCTATTTCCTTGTAGCAGTGCCAGGTTGACATGGACGAGAGAAGAGGGTCTATGATCGATGATGTGAAAGAACCTGAATGGTTACCAACTACTTGTGTGGACCATCGTTTTACCACACACCCATTGACTGAGACCATTTCTCACTTGCATGCCCTGGCTCATAAAGAGACGAAAGTCATGTATAACAACATCCGTTCGTGCTTGCAGTATATTTGGTCGACGGGTATGTTTCTACGCCTTCTTTCTGATAGAATCGGAGTCCCAGACTCGTCGATCAGCAATGACTTCACTGTGTTGTATCATGACCAGTTGGCATATTTGCTTCTCCCAGAGCAGCATGCGACGACGCCGCTCTTGTGGGTAATAGGCCCCACAGGATTGTTCTTCTCTCGCGTCGGAGCGAGGTTCCGGTATGAACCTTGAGTTTGCTGGTTTCGGTATGAAGGTTGATCTCAGGCGCACCGCCTATTTGCCGTTTGTCACCTCGGCTTACTTGTTCAGCGCGGGCAAGACGAGCATTGTGGAGTACTTGGCTGCGAGACTGGGCCATCGCTGTGTACGTATCAACAACCATGAGCACACGGACATCCAAGAGTACACCGGGAGCTACGCGGCGGACGGCAATGGCAAGCTGGCCTTCCAAGAGGTTTGTAGCAGACGCAGGAAGACGTCGTGAGCGGATGATCCGTCGTTTGGGGGTTGCGTGAATGCCAACCTCCGCATCGATATCAATATATACTACGTGTTATGTTCTTGGATGTGTATCCGGACACAAGAGGGATGGGGCCTCTTTTTGTTGTGATTTCATGTCTTGACAACAGCTCGGCAGTTTTTTTTCGTTAATACTGAGTTTTTTTTGGCGCCATTTCTTACGTCGATGTGCGGACAATTCATCCCATCACAGACCTGTTCTGTAATCGGCATAAGAACTGGCCCGTGGGGATGGTCGCGCTGCAAAGCGAGTCCAGATCTCAAGCTTGGATTTTCGCCGCCTTTTGAAGAATCCATATGCACCACTATCTCATCGACAATTGGCGGGCGCCTGAACGTTTAGTTTGGCGTCCAAATGAATGTTAACTTGACGTTGGGAAAGGTGTGTGTCTGTATATCTTGAGAAGTTGCCAACAATAATTGAGGTGTAGGGTGTGAATGACGAATACCTTGTCGCCATCGATATGAGGAGAAAACATCCTATCACAGACCTGTTCTGTAATCGGCGGAAGAACGGGCCCGGGAGTATGAATGCGCTGCAAAGCGTTTCCTTATCACGAGCTTTCCTCTCTGCCATCTGTTGAAGAATCAACATGCACCACTATCTGATCGACACGCGACGAGGTCTGTCTTTTCTTTCCCTATTGGTTGGTCTATTCGTCCATGACCAAACGGCATGTTCATCGCCACTACCGTAACATGGTGTCTGGCGTTTGCATTGCGGTACTTCGAGTTGCTAATTTGCTACGTTTTTCACCTGGGTCCTTTTGTGTTGTTTATGAAATTTATCACCTGGGTCCTTTTGTGTTGTTTATGAAATTTATCAATGAGATGTATCAGCCATTAGTTAAATCAATATTTTTGGTTTGCGTTTACTGTTCGCTCGAAGTGATGAGAAAACGTCTTGGAGACCTGTTCTGCAATCGCGAGGGTAACCGTGGGATTACGCTTGACACCGTACCTCGCGCCTACCTTCGCACTCTTGAAGATGACCAAGCAATATTCTTTCTGATCGATGCGGTAAACGGTACCAGTTGCACGTTGGATGATTTAAGTTTCGTCTAATGTTGGTTGACATCGCGTGAGTTTAGACCTGGCGATGTACTGGACGTTGCAAGCGCTTGGCATTCCGGAGAGGATGGTTTTGGAAAGAAAGGCACGACGTATGGGCGAGTTCCCCCTCTCTTGTATCGTGGTGAACCGGGCGATGCAAAGTTTTCGTCGAGCCAACAGTGATGGTCCGATGACGCGAAGCTTAAGGTACACCATTGTTCGTAGGACCAAACCTTTCCCCTTGACACGCACTTTGTCTTGCTCGCAACACTTTCGAGCCTTTTAAACGCCTACCATGTACGAATAAACAATTGTTGTAATTACGAGGGTGTGGGCTTTTCACCGCGAAAGGCGTCGGCGTCAGTCCGACTTGTATAAAACGGTACATAGTTTTTTGCCGAGACGGCTTGACTTGCACGTTTTCTTGTTTTCTCGAGCGAAAGTTGTGTTGGTGGTCAAGTGTTGTAGTTTCGGGTGCCGAGATGAAGAACAAGATTTTGCGGAACGTTGCTAACCTTGTCACGCAGCCACTCGGCTGCAGGCAAGTGCACGTTGAAGATTCAAAATGCATTCACTTTGCCGATCCACGGCACGCCGATTTGCACAAATTTTTTGCTTCAACGTTGAACCCAACATCGTGTTAAGGTCAACCGGGATTTTTGTGAGTGTAGAGGTTTGCGTTTGAAAAGTATGACAAATTGTGGCCGCTCGTCGAGGGACGTTGTGATCGCTGCAAAATGAATGTATTTGGCTCTGGCTCGAGGTGATGATAAATCTTCTTTCCCCAAACATGACCGACCATGTCTTTCACCTGAAAGAGCTGACCCCGCCAAGCCAGAGGGTGCTCAGTTGATTCTGATCGAGCGAAAGCCTAGTTCGACGTAGGAGTATGGTTGATAGAGTGGATGACAATCTTGTCAGCACGGAGACACACGCTGTAGTGGTTAGTGTTGCTTTGGACGTGAAAGAGGCGCAATATCCTCGAGAAAGGGTTAGACGATGAATATCATTTTTTTTCTCCAGCTTGACAGAAGTAGGCTTCTTGCACGAGAGAGGGTGAATCAAGTCTCTATGGGTAACCTCATGTGCCGTTCCTATCTTGTTTTCATTCTCTGTTTTGATGCATTGCTTGAGGTGATGAGAAACTCTTTTTTCCCCAAACATCACCGACCATGTCTTCAATTCGTGAGAGCCGGCACCGCCAAGCCAGTGGATGTCCGGTTGATCCTGACCGAGCGAAGAACTTTGACTATCACATACGGTCGCTAGTTAGTTGAAAAGAGCAGCATATGGTTTTTATGGACGTCGTTGCCGTTATTCCTAGGTTTCATCACACGAGGTGGTGTTCGTAATTTCTTTGATATTCAGCCATAGGGATGCCTTTTCGAGGTGATGAGAAATCTTCTTTCCCCAAACATGACCGACCATGTTCTGAAATTGAAAGAGCCGATCCCGCCAAGCCAGAGGGGTTTCGGTTGACTCTGATCGAACGTTAGTATTGCCTTGTCGTTCCTTTGCATGGAACCCAGTGGCCCCACAAAATACCAACGTGTGATATCCATTTTACCGTGTGATGTGGACTTGTTTTATCCGCGACAGGGCGTCCTTGTTGAATCCCTGCGAAAGGGCTACTGGATTATATTGGATGAGCTCAACCTGGCTCCTTCCGAGGTAAGAACGTGTTTTTTTCAGGCTGTTGGCAGACACCGTCAATCTCGTTGACGCTAAACTAGTGAGTCGATGTTCGTCGGACCAAATGAAAGTACGTGCCTATCACCCAAATGAGTTGTCACGGTGGTTGGTGAGGCATTACTAAGCAGCGGACGAGCATGGAGTCTTCGCCAGGATCGTTGTGGATTGTCTGGAACGCCTGGATAATAGCAACGGTTGACCAAAGGTCCCAGTGGGTGGGCACGGCTACGGTTTCTCCCTCAGGTCCTGGAGGCCCTGAATCGACTTCTCGACCACAACCGCGAGCTGTACGTGTCGGAGACTCAGGAGACGATCAAGCCCCACCCCAACTTCCGCCTCTTCGCCACACAAAACCCTCCCGGCGCTTACGGTGGCCGCAAGCCGCTTTCCCGGGCGTTCAGGAATCGTTTCATGGAGGTACTTCGAAGAATTTGGTGGTTACCCAACAGTTAGGGTGTGACGTTTTTTGTTCTGGTGCGAAACTCATTTTGAAATTGCGGGTGTTTCTCAGGTATTGGTTAACGAAAGCTTCAAATTGGTTTTGTGTCACCGTTACACAATATCCCGCGTCGGAGCTACGTTGCAGCACATGTGGTGGTCACATCAATCTGTGTCCGAACGTTGTGGTGCTCGAGCAATGACCAACGGTTGACTCTTGACGTGTTTCTAGGTGCATGTGGACGATATCCCGGGCGCAGAGTGGGAGATTATTCTTGCCGAACGCTGTGGTCTCCCGCCGAGCCATTGTACCCTGCTCGTCAAGGTGCTTCACGAGCTGCAGGTGAACGGATGCGCTTCTCGCCTTGCACGCTTGGACGTCAGCTTTATTGAGGTTGAAGTGATTTCTTTCGGTTTACGCACGGTATTTTGTTTTTGGTATGTGACGTGAGGTACCACCTTGGTAGTGGTATAAACCGAACGTTGATGGTACCGTTTCCCACAGATTGTTGATGTTGATCGTGTCGAGAATTTGATCTGCCTTCTGTCGTAAATCTTGTTCGCGAGCAGGCTCAACGGCAGAGCAGCCGGCTTTTCCTCGGAAAACACGGTGCGATTTCTCCGCGCGATCTACTGCGGTGGGCCGGCCGGAGGCCCCAGGGGAAGCAGCAGCTGGCGGAGGAAGGGTAAGGATAATGTTGAACGAACTAGGCGGTGGTCTCATCGTGCCGCACAGTAACCTTCCTTGCAGAGTGTTGACACCGATGCGCACTTCGCGTTCGGAGGGTTAGGTTAGGGTTTGTCATTTTGGAGTTGTGGAATAGGTTACTGGACTTCCCTCTGTTGGTTGTCTGGTGACAGGTACATGCTGCTGGCCGAGCGGCTGCGAAGCGAGGAAGAGAAGGCTGCCATGAGAGCCGTACTTGAAGAGCAGGTAAGCGACAACGTATTAGGGCAGGTGGTGTCTCACCGGGGCAGGCTCTCACATGTCACATGTCACACCTTCGTAGCTGTTGTTGTTTAAACTTATTCTGGTTGTGTGCCTCTAGGTCGCTAAACTCAACCGGGGTATCCCGAAACTTGGGTTAAGTTTGTGTTACAACCATGATGAGTTGAGGCCGTGGCAAAGCAAGCCAGGTGTTTGATTACTGCAACACACCCGTATACAAATAATTTGGAGGTCGATCTGTCCTGTAGGTGGCGTATGTACTGGCTGAAATGTGTCATTCGAAGAGGTAGCCGCACGCGGACCCTGAACAAAATTTTAATCATTTCAGCATATGATGGTCGGGTACCCATAGGGGGATATGTTTTCCAATCGTTTCTTGAATAAGGTGTTATTTGTTATGTATCGCCACTTCGGGATTCTTGTTTTGCACGCGTCCGCTGGTATCTGCGTTTTGCTTGTCACAGATCGGCGTGCCCTTAGATCCTGACTGCCTTTACGGCACGTCTCCACCTCCCAGCCAGCCACACACCGGAGAAGCCATGTTGGTGAATGCAATGGAGACCGGTGAAGTATCCTCGGTAGTTGATGAGTCTGATCTTGGAGGATTCTCGCAGTTGGCTATCATCGAGCCGATTCTGGACAGAGGCGGTGGTATCGAGGCTGGGCTTCAAGGAGTGGCCATGACCAGGTAGGTGACCTTGCGATAGTGTGACTTTTCCGCACGCGTCAAACCCAGGCTAACACCTTGTATTCGAGTTTGTTTTGCAGTAGCTGTAAGAATATCGATGGGACTGAGCTCAGTCATCGATTGGAAGCGACCAGAGTGATCGTGTGTAAAACCTGATATTGTTTGCGGCGCCGTAGCAGGTCCAAGTTTGTGCAGAGATTTTGCCTGGACGATAACGGGAATCGGCATCACTCAACCTGCCCTGTAATGGGTCACCTACGGGCGGTTCAATGTCGACGGGCATTCGAGTCCAAACCGATCAGATTGCCCGTGCTACGTAAAACAGAAATCATACTCGCGCCTACGGTGAATACCGCATGTCTCACGAAACTCAAAACCGGATCAGACAAAAGTATAGAGTATATGTCCCTATTAAGCCCCATTTAAGCCAATCTGTGCGAAAAAAGCTGGTACTTGTGAAAAGGTTGAACTAGAATACAATGGAGGTATTGAACTAATGCCAAGATCAACACCTGAGTGTAAAAAAGATCGTGACCCCTAGTCCCGATATGCACGACGCTGCATCTCCTGTTTTTCTCTACTTCGCTTTCACCCCATGATTCGCCTTTTGACACAGACCTCGACACTAAAGCGAGAAGCACGTCAATTCAAACGGGGGGGGAGGAGCCCCCAACCCCGTGTTTTCCTGACAGAAACTCACTCAATCCGCTAAAACGGTACAACGTGGCCTCGAACAGTCGCAGAATTGCGCGACGCTCCAAAAAACACTCGGTTGCCGACTCCGTGCCAATTCCAAGGGCGGTTTCAACCTATTTCGGATCAAACTTGGTTGAGTTCGGATCGGTACAAAAGAACCTACACGTCGACTACGCGAGCCGGCGTCCATTTTCGCCCTGACCTGGATACGCCGGCATCCCCACTACCCCTCCGACCACTCGACCACGACCAGCCCCCCGCCCAGTGGCATTCGCCACAACCCCCTCCCCACTCGATCACGAACGCCCCCTCGCCCGCCGTCCCCCCCACGCCCGCCCCTTCCTTATCGTCGCTCCCGCCGCCTCCGGTCGACTTTCTACTCCCAGCCCACCGCCCCTCCACCGCCCGCCGTTCGGCCAACTACACGCCCACGACCAAGAACTGCACGATGCCCTTTCTCTTCCTCCACCCCTCGCCCGCGCCTACCCTGCCCTTCTTCAAACCCCCGCCCCCGCCCCCCTCTGCCTTCGTCCGGTCCCTGTCCCCGCCCACTAGAGCCTTCACCCCTTTGTCGCTTGCCCTCCCCCCCGCCCATTCCCCCTTGCGCGGTTTGCCCCCTGTTCCAAGCTGCCCATCACCCGCAAGTCGCAAGGTCTCCCTGAAGGAGGGGTTATCACGTGCGATGGCGTCGTGCAGAATTACGTCGAGGACGAACGCCAGAAGGTGGAGGCCGAGGTAGCTCTGAGAGAACAAAGAATGGCAGGGGAGACCGAGAGGCTCTTGATCTCCCGTGCCATTATTTTTTCTTTCAGAGCTACCTCGGCCTTCACCTTCTGGCGTTCGTCCTCGAGGTATTTTCGCATGGCGTCATCGCACGTGATAACCCCTCCTTCAGGGACACCTTGCGACTTGCGGTTGATGGCGAGCTCCTTTTCTTTTTCGCATTGACGAAGGCTCCGAGCATGACCGTGTTGATATGAATGCCCTTGACGCACTGGCCCTTTTGCTGCAGCTCGCGAACCATTTGTGGGCAGAGGTTGTTGGAAATCGCCGCTGCGATGTCCGCGACGGGCGTGCGGGCACCTGATCGTTCCTTCGCCTTCCCCATACCTGAAAGTCGACCCATCGCCCGCTCCGCGTTCCCGGCCAAGGGCCCGTCCCTGCAAAGGATGATTTGTTCTGTTCCTCGGAAGAGCTCTGCAATCATGTCGCTCTTCGCGGGAACCTTTCCGCCGTTTCGTGCCGGGAAGGCCGACAAAACCTTGGTGACTTCCCCCCTGAACGACCCGACGTCTTAGGGCTGAACAACATGAGACGAGTGGCACCGTTCCTGGTAAATATCGATGTTTAGGTCCCTGGCCAATTTGACAACTTCGTAGGTAACATGCGAGGCGTGGCCATCAAGCACGAGCACGTGTGGCGTGCCGTTAAATAGCCGCGGTCAAGAATCTGCCGGTGAAAGTCGCACATGTAGTTGACGAGTACGTTCCCCTGCATGAATGAGGAATCGGTGACTGCCAGTCTCGCGTTCGGAGGGCCGTTTTTCCCTTTGACCCAGTCCGCTTGCGGACGCTGCCCTTTGTAGATGATCCACGGGGCGAGGGTGGCACCCGCCGCGCTGATGGTGATCACCATCGTCACGTTTTCTCTCGAGTTTGAACGCATCGCTCCAACCACTTCTGTGCGCTCTCGGCAATCACCTCCATTGTCTTCGTGCCTTGTGGTGTGCTACCTGCAAAACAGCGATGTTGGACCAGGAATCGTACGTGGCCGATGTGGCGTTGAGCGTAGGGAATGTGGTCGGGGCGCACCTCGTACCGCTTCCTCTAGGTCTGTGTACTATTTCTACAGAGGAGGCGGAATACAGCCGGGGGGTATCGGCAGAGACTACACTACGGCTACATCTGTCGGCGATAGAGAATAATCACATCAGAAAAGAGGCGCAGCCGCATACGAACTCACGCACGCTTGCGCTAGAGTGCGACACACAGCCCAACCCGTCTAGGTTTGTGTTTTCTCCCCAACACAAACCTCGTGCCGCCGTCCCTCTTGCTTTTACTCGAGTGACTTCGAGCGTACGGTAACACAGTGAGCGCCGGGGAAATGGAGGGGGCATTTGCTACTGTAGTGTATGTGAACCGTGCGTTTTGGTGTCATCTACACCTGTTGTGGGTTAGATCTTGCAGAGGTGTGTGGGTTGCTGAGGGCGGATCCGACGATCCACATTCAAGGAAATATCGGCACAGTTCCGCCTGCTGTTAGCAAGTTGCCGCGCTGCTGCACCGCGCACTACAGCACTGCTGTAGCCCTTGCCTACTGCTTAGATGGATCAGCAAAACCTTCTTAGTGGACCTCACCTGTCTCATCTGTGTTCCACAGGCGTCGGCAGGGACCTTTTCGATGTCGACGAAGTCGCCAAAGTTTTTGTAGAACGTCTGCAGGCGAGTCTCGCCGTTACTCATGATTCTGTTGGCCTCGTAGAATATCCTCACCGTCGTTGGACAGTTGACGCACATGTTCTTACAGCGCGGTCCGGTCGATCCCGATGAAGTGACGAGCATCGTACAGCAGTGAATCTTAAACAAAATATTCCTCCTCGACTGTGAGTACAGTCCTTGGACCAACCTTTGCATCGATGCTTACGTCACCGCTCAGCCGGGGAGAAAGCGAGCGCTTGTTCACGCTATAGGGCCTATGCAGCAGCCCGGAGAGACATTGCGCCGCTGCCGACGGCCGTGCTGGCCTTCTGCGCCTGCTCTGGGTCCACCATAGGCCTGGCCATCCTTGCAGTATCCATAGGAGTGGCGCAGCTGATTCGTGTGTACACTGCTCAAACGCAAAATAAAGGTGTGCTTTTCAAGTAAAAAAAAATGAATTTCCATGTATTTGGCAAAAAATTATGACGTTACGAAAAAGTGGGGCTTAACTCCTTCCGGGGCTCATCAGAGACATCTACTCTAGTGGTCGGAAAGATGTGTTTTTGTGTGGTTCAGGGCGGTGAGTTTTCAACAGATTGGGACTCGTCATCAAACTCCTTTTGAGAAACACATTTTTCACGCTGTTAGCCTTGCAGTGTTTCCTTGCTTCATTTACTCATCTATTGCTTGCTGCTACTCCCTGCGGTGCCTCAGTTTGAATGCCGCTTGGGTTGCAATGGAAATTAAAGCGATCTGCAGTGTGGGTGTCCTGTTCCTGCAGAAGGTCGTGCGCTATGTTGATTGTCTAGGTTGATCCCATCCGAGCTGTGAAGTCAAAGATAAGGACTCCGATTGGTGGCGTGTAGTGCGCTGCCGTTGTGGACAACTCACACGGAATCTCAAACCATTTTGCTGAGCTCTCTTCATCCACCGTCGTCATCGTCGATGATTATCCGCGCTGGCTGTGGCGGTTGTTTGAGTCCATGTGGGGGTGCATTCGCTATTTTCGAGCCTCCGTTTTGTCTCATGGTTGCCATGACGGCCATGTTGAGCCGCAACTGTCTTGAAGGTCAAGTGAAGTGAAGTGAAGTGAAGTGAAGTGAAGTGAAGTGAAGTGCTTGCATGTTGGTGTTGTGGTGTGGCGGTGACGCGAAAAGTTAGGGACATCCGTACGCCGTGCCTGTAGTGGGCGCGACGGTGGGGATAAAACCGCAACGGAATCTTACTTTACTGAGCCACCAACGTGTTCCGCCGGCCTTTTTTTTTTGGCTCGAGAATTTTCACGAGGGCAGTCAGCTACTCACTTCCTAAGCCGTCGTTTTTCTCGTTCACTAAAGTTGCAGCAGGGCGGGGAAGCTGCGAATCTCCGAGGCGTATCTCACCTATTGTATTGCTCTAACCGACTTGGTGTTCAGAGCGAGAAACATCGTTTCTATCGATCGGGAGTGCTTTGGAGGACTCGGTTAAAGTCGGTGTCATTCGGACAAGGCGTCTGGGCCATGATGCAATAAGCAAGTATCCTATGGCCCTTGTAGTGAGGTGCCTCACGTGAGGATTCACCGTGTGGAATCTCATTAGCTGAGCCCTGCCGTCAAGCTTTGTCGATGTAGAGGTGATCCCAGGACTGCTGTATTGCTGTAAGCGTCGTCTCGTGTTATCAACGCTTGAAGGTAGTGTCGACCGTTACAAGCATTGTTCTCCAACGCCCTGGTGTTAACAGTCGCGCCCTTCACGCCGTCACCCCTTACCCCGCGAACGACATCGCGCTGCAGGCATATGCGACGATTGTTCCGTCTTTCCGGGCGATGTCTGAGCCATCTAGAGCCGCTGCTTCTCGTTGGTGCTACTGGTTGCGGCAAGACGACAGGGTGCCAGTTGTACTCGATGCTCCTTGGGCGTAGGTGCGTTGTTTTTTCCTTCCGGTTAAGTTGAATGCCGTTACATCAACAAGCCATTGACATTGTTACGTAATGTTCTGGATGTTTCGGAGGAGGTTGCGCATGTCATTTTGGGTGCGTCCTCGAATGGATAAGGTAAAAGTGTCGGATTCCGTTTGGTACCAGGTGCGGTAGTATTTTGAAGCAGACACTGGAAACAAGCCTTGATTCGAGTATCGGAAAGCCTCCCCTGCGATTTCAACGCCATTAATGCTGCCGTTCGCAGGATGCACGTCGTCAACTGCCACCAGAACACCGAGGCCGCTGACCTTCTTGGCGGCTTGAGGCCGTTGAGGGGTCGAGATGTCCTAGTCGAGGAGCTTCGAGATAGGGCCAAAGTTTTTGTTGAACGTTGCACCAATGCAAGGCATGGAGGCGGAGAGGATACTGAGTGGACTGGGAACAACCTGGACGTGGTCGGCTTGATGGCTGTTGTGCAGGTGAAACTTTCGGTTGTTTCCCGGTGTTTCGAGATGCGCTCAAGTACCAGTACAGGATGTGACTTAGCTACCCGATCCGATGTATGAATCTCTTCTCTTGACCTGTGCAGGAACATCCTTCGTTTTTGCATTTTTGTATGTACATTTCTCGTTCAAGGACAATCGCTGCAGCAAAGCATATCGGTATCTCCCTCTTGATCTCACGCCATGGTCTTGAGCGGTCAACACTATTTGTAACGGATGCAAGATTAAATTCGGAGCGAGCGTATAGTTAGGCTCTCGCCCTGCGCCTGCCTCCCGCCGATCGTTATGAAACCCTTTCTTGGAGGGATTTATGAAGCTGCGGTCGACGGCGACGCAACTCATGGGTCGAGCCTTGGACGAATGCCCCACACTTTGGCATGTTACCGTGAAGTGACAGTTCTGGTTTCATTACAACACCACGATTCACTGGTTGTGGTTCTGGTTCTTGAACCTGTCCAGCTATAACAGCAACGAAACCTGAGCCTTATTGACACGATTCCGGTTGTTGATAGGGAAACGATGACCGTGCGTATCCACCTGGATGACCGTGCATACCTTGAGTATTGACCGTGTGTCGATATAGTTCAAGACACCGCCATCAAGTCGTGTGTGACGCTGTGGTATCGGTTCACATTGGTACCTGTTTTGTTGTTCGTGTACCTGAAAACGGACGAGTACGCCCGCCCCATCATGGCGTTTCTTCGCGTTGGGTAAGGTGCGGGTTTCTTGTTTGTGGAACCACGGGTCACCGCAGGAGGCGGCACAAATTTTGCACCCCAAAGAGGCGGTTTCACGCTGCTGACGTCCGGGTCAACTGAACCTCCATCGTCCCCCATATTTTTTGCACCAGGCCGCGTGGGCCAAACTGCGACAAGAACAATCTGCCTCGGGTGTGGACGTTGACGCAGACGTGAACGGAGATAAGGTTCCAGCTGAAGCTTTTCGACGGAAGGAGAAACGCGCCCATCCTGAAGCTGATGGTCCCGATTGTGCGGTTAGCGGCAAGCCCGGACCGGGCGGTGCCTCCAAAGCCAAAACGGACGCCAAACCGTCCACAGGGGTTAAGCGGAGAAGATCGGCGGCTGATGAGTCGTCCGCATCAAAACATGCATCAAACGACCATCAGCATCCGCCTTCTCCCGCAGCAGCAGACACGGAGGGCGTGGGTGTCTTTTCTACCCCTGGAGAGAGTACCGTGGTAGCTGATCAGTTGGAAGAACTTTCCGGCCTACAGCGTGAGTTAGTATTACTGAAGACGTTGGCGGTCCGCACCAAGGGACTGTTCGAATGGGTGGACGGGCCCCTTGTGACCGCCATGCGGAAGGGCGAACTGATTCTTCTGGACGAGCTTTCCTTGGCTGACGATGCCGTGCTCGAGAGACTGAACTCTGTCCTTGAGCCCGGCCGGTCGATCACGTTAGCGGAGAAAGGAGGGGAGGGTGCCGTCGGCGGCCACGGCGCGGCGGAGACAGTTGTAGCTGCTCCAGGATTCAGGTGCGTTGTGTTTTTCTAGTTTGTTGTGTGCATACGAGGATTTGCCATATTCATCACTGTTGTTTTTAGTTTTTTTATATGTGGCGATATGGTTGAAACCGTATCAAGGGTGTTGGTTTCTCTTGATGCTTTTTTCCATGTGCTAATATTTCCCAGGGTGATGGCGACGATGAATCCAGGCGGCGACTTCGGGAAGCGGGAGCTGTCTCCTGCGCTTCGATCTCGGTTTACTGAGGTGTGTCTTCATGCCATGGAATGCTTTCAGTCATTACTTTGGTCATTTTAGTTTATTTACGTAACATGTACCGGGCCACAAAATGTGAACAAGGCGGTCCCTGCTGGTCTGGTTTGGACGAACCCGATTCTGTACCTGTGCCTAGAGCTTGTACTCCACTACTGGTTCAGCGTTTTTGTGTCAATGCGGTCTTTCGTCTTATGCCTGTTAGGCTCACCTCAAGTCCTAGTCTATGTTTTGTGCAAAGGGCTTATGTCAGATCGCGCTTGATTGGTCGTGATGTGGTGCAGGTATGGGTGCCGGCACTGTCAGATCGAGAGGACATGGAAGGCGTGGTGCAAAAGGCATTCCGATTCGGGAACAACAATTCCTCCGCAAGCACGGACCTCACCATCATGGCCGGCCCGATGCTTGACTTTGCTTGGTGGTTCAACAGCACGGTGAGACATAAGCGATCGCGTCGAGACGAAATTCGTACATGTCTCTCTGGTCCTTGCAGCCGTCAGCGTAACATCCAAATTTGGGCCACTTGTCGACGTCCTAGTTACAATTCCTTCACGCGGTCCACCTCTTTGCCATTCATGCATCTTTCTGCATGTCGGCCTGGCAGGCGTCATCGTTGGGAGGCGGTCATGGTTTATCGCTATCGGTCAGGGACCTGCTGTCATGGGCGGGTTTCATCATCTCGGTTGTGAGGAGCTCGTGTCCCGATAGGCGGTCGTCTGAACCGGGCCTGAGGCCGTGGGAGGCGTATGTGCACGGGGCTGCCCTGGTCTTGCTGGACGGGATGGGACTCGGTGCGGGGCTCTCGCCTTCTTCGGTTGTACGTCTTCGACAGGCCTGCGTCAAGGTCCTCAAGGGGCAGGTAAGGGCACGAAGTACGCCGGCGCAATGGCGATACCGAATTGCCTCCCCAAACTTGAACGCACCAAATGCATAGAGTGAAGCGCAACCATTTCGAGCCTGTATGGATGTGNGCGTCCTTCATCTCCTGACCGCTACACCACTCCTCTATCAGAAGCCCGTGACCCGTGGTTATGGGCATGTCGCCGACACTGCCACAGCTACTGCTGGTCTCTACATGTCCGCACACGCTGCCGTCGTTCGCCAGTAGGCGGTGCAATCTCTAAATTCACCGCCGATTCCTCCACATGCGGCTGCTGCTGCGGCTGCTGCTGCTGAAATCCAAACCGTCAAGAAACCCGTCTGATGAGGTATCGCAAATGTCATCCATCGCTTCTTCGGCGTCCTTCATCTCCTGACCGCTACACCACTCCTCTATCAGAAGCCCGTGACCCGTGGTTATGGGCATGTCGCCGACACTGCCACAGCTACTGCTGGTCTCTACATGTCCGCACACGCTGCCGTCGTTCGAGGGACCAGTAGGCGGTGCAATCTCTAAATTCACCGCCGATTCCTCTACAGGACGAACCTCGTTACCGACAGAGGAGCTCTCCACCTCTTCCTGCTCCGACTGTTGCTGCTTTTCCTGCTGCGCCCGCCGCAAGAATGCTCCCATGGATCGTGCCATGTCCTTCGTTTCTTGTCCGAGAAGCCTTCATCTGTTTCGGAATTTTTGGCTCCTCNCTCTCCACCTCTTCCTGCTCCGACTGTTGCTGCTTTTCCTGCTGCGCCCGCCGCAAGAATGCTCCCATGAATCGTGCCATGTCCTTCGTTTCTTGTCCGAGAAGCCTTTTTCTGTTTCGGAATTTTTGGCTCCTGGACAGTGCAGGCGGCGAGATTTTTTTCGCCGCGTTTCTTGCGGCGCGCGCTGCTGCGGACGCTACAGACCGGTGCGCAAAACGCAGTATCGACTGACCTCCACCACTGCTGCCGTTTGCACCGCTGGAATCCTCATCGCACCACTCCTCATCGTTGGCGTCCTCGTTTGCCGCTGCCGTCTCTTCTTCATCCACGTCCATCAAATCCGCGCCGTCGACTGGATATGCTGCATCACCAGAGCCGGGCGATGAGTTATCATTTTGCTGCGCCGGCTTCGGCTTTTTAGGAACCGCCCTGCCATCGGGTCCGCGATTTCCGAATTTCTTCTTCTTTGCCCGTCCCTTAGCCTTCCCCATGGTGCTTGTGTGCGTGTTTTGTGTTGTTCGGGTTGCCGTGTGTGCAGTTGTTGGACACCGTGTGCGCCCAGGAAAAAAAAAAGTCACCGCATGGCGCGGAACAACAACAACGCGAATATCTCGAGAACCAGATTTTTCCCAGCAAAACCAAGAAATGCCCACCTGGGGATGGTCGAGAGAAATCGTTTGCCGCACTCTATTTTGAAATCGGTCGGTTTGTTATTGCATATCAAACAAAACAAGTTGACCCTTTAAATCAAGTTTTCTCTGTATATCCGTCAATTTCGAATATTTCAAAAAAAGAAAAAATCCCACCTGGCAAATTCCGAAATCTGTCCAAAACCGTTGAGTTTGGTGGCATCAACAAACAACACACCTCTCGAAAAACAAAACAAGATTTTCCGGTTTATCGGAGATAAAAAAGTCAAGAAAAAAAACTGTCCGTCACGCGATGCGCCTATAAACAGGGCGTTTTCCGGTATTTTCAGAATTCCGAACAACCACCTGTGTGCAGAGAAATGTTGTCATTTGTGCTGGGAAATTTTGGGATTTTTACTTGTGCACGGACCATAGGATTGATATCGCTGCTGATGCAGTAGTGCGTCCGATGTAGGCGAGTACCTTATGACAGGCGGCTCCGATGAAAGAGGGTCGACGTCGGTTGTCCGGAACTCGCCTTTTCCGGTGCAAGAGGGAACTGCGATCTAATAGCGCCGAGGGCCTTCGTCGAACGACCCTCTTTTAACGAAGCAACGACTTTAAAGTCTTTCGTGTCCCGGGTAGTGTTCCGGGAACTGGCGTGCAAGAGTGGGCGGACCCGCAGCCCAGCGACCGCCCAGGGACGTTACACGCCACGAGCAAGATTCGACGGTTTCGTGTACCCTTGATACGGTCACGCGAGGCTGTCATTTACAATCCGTCTGCCTTCAAGATGCTGCCCGCTTGCCCGACGCTGCAAAGCGCCACTGGCCGGTGCGGCATAATCGGCTAGATACATCAATATATACGCGTTGATTTGGCCGCCTTGTTTTTCTATGTGGTGAAAGTTGGTCTAATTAAGGCCGTATTTAGCACAGTGGAACGCCACGGTTTTGTTTTGACCACATTCCAAGCCGTCATCGCTGGTGCGGGCGGTGCTGAAGTTAGTCGCCTACGGCGCTCTACATTCATGTGCGACATGTGTGTGAGGCGCGCGTGTCCCGTCCCGCCAGGTGACCGCAAATATGTGTGTTATCAGCGCAAGTGCTCCGAAATGGCGAAGTTGGGGGACGCTGATGGAATATCTCTTGGCACGCTTCCGGAGAGGCATGCCTTGCTTCCGAGGGTGCACCCCCGGTAGCGAATGGCGGGAAAGGTGCAATTTTTCGGAACCATGGGTAGAAGATCTATATCCTATTTTGCCGAAGCCTAGACTACTCCTTGGTACGGGGGGCCTTTGAATCCTTGTCGACCGCGAAGCCGGGCCGGTGAGGCCCGTCGAGGACGAACTCGAAACCGTCTCAACGAGTGTTGTACCGGCAGCAATGCGTCGCCTGCAAGGACTTAGGCTGTGGCCCTACAGGCATCCCGCAGCTTTTGCTGAGGTCGTCCAGAGCGAAAATGTTGTTCGGCGAGGTACTAGATTAAAAGGTGTACATCGAAACGTTGCTGCATCCCGGTGCCTGGGACTGTAGACATGTTTTATTTGGCACGAAACGTTTGGTAGAGGCATGGTTCAGTCCTACCAATCGTCCGTATGTGTTTTTAAGTCGGGTCGAGATAGTACTCCACTTACAAAATAGCAGAAGGCGCCAAAAGACCATTCACGGCTGCAAATATATGGCGTTGAAATGCTCTTGGGGCTTAAGTACCGCATACAACTTTTTGTTTCTGCGCTCCGTTTTCCAGAACGCCATGGATGTCCATAGAACGGAAAACGGGACACTTGTATTTGTGGCTCAGACATTCCTGGCAAGGTTGTGATGTCTCCTTTGAGCAACTGTTATGAAATGACAAGGACAATATGACCGATGGAGTCGATTGGTTGAGGTTTTTCCACTTTCACAACTGGCCCCGTTACTATCCCCGCCATAGCGAAATTCCGTCAGGTTTGGGCGGGTGGTTTTAATGACGTACGGTGGGGGGCGTTCGCACAAGAATTGACAGAGAAGCACGGAACAGTGTCGCTCCTCCAGACGGTTTTGTCATCTTATTCTTTTTGTTGGTGCAATTAACGATAATGTTGCCGTCATCCTATTTTGATGGTATTGATGAATCGGATGGAGGCAAGGCCATGGTCTGAATTGTGTTGTGCGGAAAGTTTGTCACAGTTCTTGTGCGAAAGTCGGCTTTTTAGAACTGAACCGTTTACCTGAACGCGCGTGACATTTGGTTTGGATGCAGGGGGGGGGGGCTTTGTTGCGTGTCACGGCGAAGTGTGGCCGCTTTCAGGGCAGGTTGCCCAATCCCATTTTCACGGAATTTGGAGGTATATTACCTGTGCGCGGCGGTGCGGAGTCGTTTTGTAGTCGCGAATCAGGGGTTGTGTATACCGTTGAGCGTGGGATGGTATCGGGCGGTGCAGGCGAAACCCACGTACCGCCCGACAAACGGAAAGCCATGGACACTTTCCCGTTCGTCCGACAAGAACCCGGGCCTTGCTGTGGTGTTCCGACATAACTCAACTGGCTGACATTACTATTCAGAGAGGGGGGGCAAAAAGTAGAGAATATCTGGTCGTCGACATGTGCCACTTGTACAGCTGTAGGGGGGCAAACAAATTAAAAGCCCTCATCGTGTTGTTTCCAGCCCTTGCGACGCGACCTGCGGTGTGTGTGAAGAACCAGCTGTTCTTGATCTCGTTCCCGGACCGACTACCACCATCAACTAGCCAACGCGTATGATGTCTCGCCTTAACATCTGTTGTGTCGCTGTACACACACATCTGCTTATACCCGGCGAGTGGGGCGATCAGAAAACCGATGCCGATTTCACCGGAATTACTGACCTATATTTTTGCTTTTTGTTTCGTTTCGCGTGGACGTTGCCGTGCGTAAACGCTGCCAAATGGTCACGCTCATTGGTTGCTTGATCATTTTCTCCCAGGACTGAAGCTTTTCAGACGCACAAGTCAAATGTGCACTGTTTCCTTTTTTCTTCGTCTGTTCACTCGATCAGATTCCAATGTGTCCGGAGCAAGCCTCGGCGCTAGCCCAGCTTGACAGGGATGGAGGAGAACGTCCGGAAAAGCTTTCGTCGCTTGCGTTTGAAGTCCGTGACATGACTCACGTCGGAGTGGAACAAGCGGCTGAAGAGTCGCCGCGCTCTTTTTTTGGTGTGGAACCGTTCTTGACTCCCTGCGGGCCCAACAAGGTTTTGGGGTCTGAGAGCGCCGAGCTGGATTTTTCCGTTAAGGCGCCGACTACTTCCAAGAACCTTAGGAGGGTGCTTCGGGCGCTTCAGGTAGGGATGCGTGGAGGTGAAATCGTGTATCACTTTTTCCCACACATGATCGTGTCCTTTTATGTGCTATTTCAACGCTATTTTCCCGTCCGACGAGAGTCTTGTGGATTGGAAGGTGGCTGTGCGCGATTTTTACCTTGGATTTTTTATTCCTGAAGGTTTGACAAGTTTGTAGGCCCCATTTTTCTCTCGACCAAACCAAGAAGCACTTTCTCGTGAAATAGTCTTGACTCTATCGTCTGACTGTATCTACTTCGTCAGATACGAAAAGCAGTTCTCCTGGAGGGCAGCCCTGGCGTGGGAAAGACGAGCCTCATCTCCGCGCTGGCAGCGGCCGCGGGACACGAGGTGAGATTACTAATGTATTCTTTTTGTTTGCATGAATGGATAAAAATCGACAGTATTCTTTTTGTTTGCATTGATAAATAAAAATCAACAATGGTTGTGAAAACCGGCCCTTACCGATGCACATCCATCGGATAATGTGCGATTTGCGACAAGAATGTAACCAGTTCCACGTTTCGGGCCACTTTGTTTATTCCCTTTCCAGCTTGTGAGGATCAATCTTTCGGAGCAAACGGACGTGTCCGATCTGTTCGGCTCAGACCTTCCGGTTCCTGGTACGGACTCAGGCGAACTGAGTGGCCAACAGACCGAAGGCAGCGGCGCAACAAGCGCTCGGTTTACGTGGTGTGATGGGGTGTTCCTGAGCGCCCTGAAGGCCGGCAAATGGGTTCTGCTCGACGAGCTGAACTTGGCTCCTCAGGTGTGCTGGTTCTTTGCGCATGTTTGAAAAGATCGGTGTACCCGTCCCAATCCAACCTGCCGTCGTAATACGATAGTCGTCGCATCTTTTGTAGACCGAATCGCTTGGTAAAGGGATTGGATCAGCGGTGCATAGCTGTCGTGTCAACAAGTTAGCCTGCTCGCGCCCTTATCGTTTGCTTGGTTTTCACGAGTACTGTAAGGCTTACTGCCTTCACCACGGCTGTCTGAGTTACGTATTTTTCAACTGCATTCGTCGTATTCCTACATCCGCAGAGTGTGCTCGAGGGCCTTAACGCTTGCCTGGATCACCGTGCCGAAGTGTACATCCCAGAGCTCGGGCGTTCGTTCAGATGCCCTCCGACGTTCAAAGTCTTCGCCGCGCAGAATCCTCTAGGGCAGGGTGGTGGCAGGAAGGGTCTTCCAAGATCTTTTCTCAGTCGCTTCACCAAGGTTTGTCGGATTGCCTGTACTCTACTGTATTAGTGCGTGGTTTGACTCCATCTCGCCTCTTGTTTTAAATGGGCCCATTCCTCTTTCGTTTCTTGTTGGTTTCGATGCCCAAACTAGTACGGTCTCTTCATGCCCACGATCTCTTTGGGCAACGCTTTATTGTGTTGTGTTGACAGGTGTATGTGGATCCACTAACGCCGGACGATCTACTCTACATCGCGGTCAACAAGTTTCCTTCCCTCGCAGCACCGTCATCATCATCAGCATTACCGTGCGACGCTGCTCTGTTTGCGGCCACGGACGGCAACGGTCAGGAGAACAAGAAGTCGTCACTTTCTCGTTGCGATGCGGCATCGTCTGTGCTCGCACGCATGATCGCGTTCAACAGGCGAGTTGGACTCAGCTTTTGTTGCCCACCTAGATGGTGCTACCTGATTCTTCCAACGCATTTCGATGCTAACGCTTGACGTACCCCAAGAACCTTTTTGTTCCACAAGATTTCGGCATGGCGTGCACATTGACGCCTTTGTGATGTGTTTGTATGACTCAACACAAGCGATTAAAACCACATCGTGGATGAGACGGGAGTGAGCGTGAAAAGTGCGTGGGCTGACGTCGATCAACAATACCGAGGACAACACATTCGTCTTCCGCTTCTAGCCATACCCCATGGCTCTGGTGCATCCACGTCCTCGAATATCAACACCTCCATTTTTGCTCTCTCTTTCTGTACAGTCGGTGATGAGCGAAAATTGCGTAGGGCTGGAGTCGCCGAAAATGGGACTTTCCGTCTATTTGTCCCAATGCATGCCCCGTTAACTGCCAAGTATTTCGTGTGGGCGCAGGCTGTGATCTCCGATATCTCCGTTTTGAGTTTTTGTCGCGCCTTTGGCAAACCGTGTCGCATGGATGAATCGTTTCGACAGCATTGCCGTCGTTCTGGCCGGTGGGAGTCCCCAGAGGATTGCCCCTTCCGATGGTGACGCGCCCCTACACGCTGCTTCCAATGTTCTTGTAGTGTGCTCATGTACGTCTCTTTGAGGCTGTCGAAATTGCGATGGTATGGCAACAAACAGATTCTTCCGATTCTGGCCCAAAAGCACGATCTCACTGCCGGAGCATACGGAGATAAAGTTAGATGATTTGGGGTACGCGCCTTGCCGTAGAATCCACTGTGGTAGCACAAGTGATGGAACTGTAGGCAACCAAACAGAATGTGTGATGGAACACGGAAGTGTGGCTGTACGGGATCGAAATGAAAGTGTACACTTCCATTTGCTTTGAAGATCATGCTGCACACGTACATTTGTTTTGTGAACCGTTCTGATCAAAGCACGTCTCGTGCACAACGTACGGAGTCGACGGAAGCGTTGTGAAGAAAGCGCAGATCTACGGAGCTCGCGAGTAGACGGTGGCTACTCTCGTTCTAGCGGCGTATTTCTGACGTTTGCCTTCACTTTTATCGGAGCTTCGCCCTTTTCCTTGTGCTTGGCGTTCCACGACCTGGTGCTCGGCGTTTTTCACCCTGATGGTGGTTTGTCCATTCCCGAACCCGGGGACGTGGCCCGAGTCGACCGCTCATTTCGGGCCTGCCCAACAGAGACCATGGGTCGATGACGGGGCAGATCATGAGGGCATGTTTGTTGAAACGCTTTATTCGCAGCGTAAATGCTAAACGGACTCATAAGCAGCTCAAGGCTTGCGCTATTTTTTTGGTACGAGGGCACTGGCAAACTGATGAAATTTGTCAAGTCGAGTACGCTGTGCAAGGGTATTCCGTGAAGGGTTTGGGGTTTGCTTTCCCGCTTGCCTATTGAAGGAGTCCGTACGCAGGTGGAAGCGCAGTTCCCACTAGGGTGAGCACTATGACCTTGGCGTACTCGTCCTTTCAGTCGGTGCAGGGTTGCGGTAATGCGTACTCATCCCTATTTGCGGAACTAGCACAAATCCCGCCATTATCTGCGCATGCTCCAGTGTCTTCTCTGGCTTACCTGTGGTGTGCATGTCAACTTGTTTTGCCGTGGTGTGCAGCTTGGTGCAATATGATACGATGGAGGCTGGGCGCTACGGGCAAAGAGGCTCTCCCTGGGAGTTCAACCTTCGTGAAGTCTTCCGTTGGTGCGAGCTGATGCTTGAAGAGCAACAGCACAGCGGCATCGAATCCTCCGCCGCTCGTGGCTGGAAGCCTTGGCTACTGGTTGATACCCTCTACATACAGCGATTGCGCACCCGGTCGGACCGAGCCGCTGTCCTCGACCGGTTCAGGGAAACGTTCCCCGAAGCTTTTGTGGATAGTTTTCCATCCTCTCCGGTTGGTACCAAGAGTTGTTCCAGAGAGGGCTTGGTTTCCCGCGGGTGCGAAGCGGGGATTGGAACGCACCCGGTGCTGAGTGTTACTCCGGAGTGGATGCAGGTGGGGCAGACCGTGCTGCCACGCGGATGTTGGGGAAACGGAAATGGGGACGCGGATGGACTAAGGCCGGGCATAACGATGCCTCTTTCGTTGAGGAGACCGTTGCAGGCCCTGGCGAGGTGAGGACATCGGTGGCACCCTTTGATGTGTCGGTACCATTTGTTGATTCGTGTGCGTGGCTGCGGTCGCGGAGTACTAACGGAACGGACAAGGAGCTTAATTTTCATTCTTGAAGCGTTAACAAGGTGTTGGGGCCGATGTTGTGGGAGGCAGCCGATGGTGATGTACGTGTTTCTCGTCGGTTTTCCATAGGTGCGTGGCGATGGGCTGGCCGGCCCTGGTGGTGGGGCACCGCGGGTCTGGGAAGTCAGGCATTATTAAAGGCTTGGCTGCCGGTGTGGGAGCTCGTCTTACGGAGGTCGCGATGACACCGTCTGTTGACGTCACCGAACTGCTTGGGTGCTTCGAACAGGTACGTTCTGCTCTCACTTCGGTCGGCGGCGCCAATTGTGGTTCCCTCAACCACGAAGGAATCAAGCAAGTATGTCGTGAGATAGGCCTTAGAAAGGAGCATGCAAGTTTGGGACCAGCCTATGATTAAAACATGGTTGACCGTCACAAGAGTCTAACAGCACACTCTCAGGAGACGCTATTTTCTCGGTGTGGATCTATGAAACCTTCCTGTGTCACTGAGGCTTGTTGCGAAGTATATTGTACACGTTATCGTCAGGAGCATGTTATGGCGTTGTAATAATGTTTAGCCCTTGTCAAAGTGGTCGGAGTGCTGGTCATTCCGCTTCTGGTTTGGCCTTATGGCGTCAACAACCTCCCCGGTAGTGTTATCCGCCGTGGTCTTACTTTCACGTAAATATCACGTGGCCTGGTGGTTGTCAAATTCGGGGAGACAAAAAACAAACCCCACGGCAGCGTCACGCCTGCAAAGGCGCGATGTTTATCGCGGGGGCATCGATTACGCGGCGCTCTATCTCGCTGGTGGCTGAAAAGCCACCGTGGTACGAGTTGCTGAAGTCGACGCAAACATTTTGATGTAGAGGATGTGTGGAGTTCCGCGGGAACCACGAGAAACCCCAGGGTTTGCGTTGCATCGTAGCTCAAAATCGTCTGCCCATTGGAATGCACACCAAATTTGTGGTGAAAGTCTGCCGTCATCCTGTCGCCATGGCAGCTTTGATGGGTCGCTCTCGACTAATGAGATAATTCCCCATTCTCAACCCGCGTTGCCGGTCCGAAGTTTCGGTTGGCGAAGGAACGAAAACGATGAGACGGCGACAGTCGATCTGAATATGCGTTGTGTGTACAAGACCGCGTGTTAATTATTGTTTCCCTGACCACCAATTCTGATAAGTATATTTTTCTACGCCTAACGTTCGATCGACCGGAATCAGACCGATGCGAGGGCGGTTGAGGAATCTCTTGTCGAAACGCTCGAGGAGTTGGCGGACAAGACATGTCGCGTGTTGCTTGAGTTCTCGGGCGATATCCTGCCGGAGGCTGCCCTTACTGCTGGCGCGCTATGGGATGCTCTGCACGCAGTGCGTCGCACGTATTGCAACGCAATGGCCCCAGATGTCGATGCAGGGCGTCATGCGAACATCCTGGGCTTCACTGATCAGGTATGGGAATGATTTGGCTGCGGTATGCATACGTCATGTCGACCGATGGTAAGCGTGTACTGGTGGTATACTTCCTCTGTATCATAAGTTAGGGTCCCTAAATGCAATAGATTGTCTGGGTGCAACCGTGTTAGTGATGGTAGCATAGTCGGGTTTGTAAGAAAGATCTAACAAAGAAGAAGAGATAGAAAAAATAAAATGAAAAAACGAACATCTATCTCTGTACCTAATATCGGTCAAAATGTAACCTATTTTGGCCTGTTTTGGGAATATTTTTGAGAAAATATTATGGGATTGTTTTTGAGAATTGTCGAAAAAAATCTCAAAACCATCTCATATTAGTACCCTACCGACCCACTACTCACTCTAGCGATGGAATCGCCCCCCAGCACACCACCTCGCAAAAGGGGAACCGAGTTATCGGTTGGTAGGCGCTATGCCATGGCGGTAGAAATTGCGGTGGGCATTCAGCCGGGGTTAACGATTCCCAAGGGCGTGCTTGACCCGATCTGCGAACGCTACGGTGTCGGAAAGAAGTACCCGTCCAAGTGTCTTGATTTTAGTGTGTGACCCCCAAGTGTCTTGGTTTTAGTGTGGCTCACCACTATACTGCTTTCATTATAGGAGGCGCGACATGGATCGTTGAGTAGAGGGGGGGGTTGGATGAGGGCCCTACTGTTGCTTGCTTTGCCCCGCAAGTGTCTTGGTTTTAGTGTGGTCCCCCCAAATGTCTTGTTTTCAGTGTGGGGGCCACTATTATGCTGCTTTTGGTATGGGAGACGCGTCATGGATCGTTGAGTAGACGGGAGGCTAGGTTTAGGGTCAGGGATAATTCTTGGTATTTTTGCCTTGTTTTTGTCATTGCCCCGTCCCCCCCGCCTGGTCGCCTGGTCGGAGGGGGCAGAATACATGCAAAATACGGCCTTTTTCAGGCCGACTGTTTTTTTCTCGGGCGCTCATGCACGCGAGAACCTTCTGCGCGGTGTTCCATGTCACAGGGAATGGTTGCAGTCGACCATCTCTTGTCGTCGCTCAAGTCAGCCATGGAATGCATCCGAGCTCATCCAAGCCTCACCGATTTGAAAACAGCGCGGGGGAAAGAGGTACTCTCCCTAAACCGGCGTGTAGAACGGGCGGCAGCCCTTGCTACGAACCTGCAGCATACCGTGACCGACGCGGCTCTCTTGGCAAATGCGGAGAGCAGCGTGGGCGGGTCCGGTGACGGTGCCCCGGGCAGGAGATCGTCTCGTGCGTCTTGCTTCTGTTGGAGCGATGGGGTGCTGGTTCAGGCTCTGGAGAGGGGTGACTGGATTGTGTTGGACGGGGCGAACCTGTGCTCTGCCAGGTGACGCGTATTGTAGCCGCACCAGTGTCGGTTGTGGCTGCATGCGGAAACGTCTTGAATGTTGACGGTTGGTGGTGAACATGCGGAAACGTCTTCTGTCGGCAGTGAAGAAATCATCTCAGATGCAACGGCCAAGTTCAACGCTGGTACTATGGTTGCAGAACTTTGGACAATGCTGGAATGAAACAAGTTAAAGCTACTGCATGGTGAAACGCTAGTTGACCCCGACGTCGGTGCGCTTGAAAGCAGCGTGATGCCCGAAGACAGCGCGTGTAGGGTCGCGCAAAGATGCTTATTCTCAACTTGCCCTTGCTTCTCTCAACCATTCTCCTCGTGCTCCACCTCCTGCGGATGTGTTGGTTCGCAGCGTCCTGGACCGGTTAAATCCCCTCTTGGAGCCTGGAGGTGTCCTACCTCTCACGGAGTGCGGTACGTCAAGCGGGGCGTCTCCCACCGGCCACCGGACGATCCGACCGCACTCCAACTTCCGACTGTTCTTGACGGCGGACCCGTCCTGCGGGGAAGTATCCCGCGCAATGCGGAACCGTTGCGTGGAGGTGTCGCTGCTTGACGCGCCTCCGGCCGTGACCATATTTTCTCCGCAACCGGCAACGGCGAACGTCGGCGCTGGGGCAGGCGAGAATTCTTCACCAGCCACGGCCGTCACCGAGCATGCGGCAGACTTGTTGTCGATGGTGTGTGCGGCTGGGCTGACAGACCCGCGGGAGGCCACGGCGGCGGTTGCCGTTCACTCTGCGTTTGTGGCGAGGAGTAGGCGGGGCGGGAATGCTCATGCGGGGAATGGACCCGCGCCACGTGCCCTGCTCCGCTGGGCTGAGCTGGTCGCGGCGTGTCGTTCTCGGCGTGTAATTTGTGAGGGAGCCGATGATGGTGGTGACTTGTGGCTGCGGTGCCTCCCGCTGGCGTATCCGACGTCAAGCCCTGGAGGTATATCCTCAGCAGCGGTGAAGCTCGCGAGAAATATTCTGTCGACCTTCACGGCCAGGCCTCTGGCTTCGGGTTCGGAGGAGTCGATCTCTACAGCCGACGTGATTAGTTCCGTTGTGCCTTGCGGCTGGAGGGAGATCGTGGAGGAAAGCGTCGTCAGACAGGTCATTCAGGACGTGAAACTGCTTGAGATCGTCGTGGCAGCGAGCAGCACCGCAGTCTCTGCAGGAGGTGATTGTTGCCTCTTGCCGCTTGTCGTGGACGCGGTTGGCGGTGGGCAATCGTCCTCAACCGCTGCCGTCGTTTCGCCGCCATTTACGGACTTGAGACTGGAGCCAGGCGATGCGGCTCTACTGCTCACGGCGCGAGAGGCCGCTTTTACCTCGAGGGTTAGCCGTACGCTTCTCGCCCAGGCAGCCGTTCTGGTTGCCCGAAAAGCTTCATCGGCAGACCTTCATCTGAGGGTAATGTCCTCCGGTAGGGTGACAGGCTCTGCATCGCGCGGTTCGCCAGGGTTCGGACGGGGACGGTTGGCCAGCAACCTGGGAGAGGCGGTGGCCGCGATGATGGCTGTACTGTTCGACTCGCCAGCGCGGCGTGAAGTATCGGCTATGCTCGCGGAGATGGAGTCCGAGGCAAACGTTGGGGGTGGCGGCAGCGGTGCACAAGACAACAAGACAGCGTCGCTGCGGCGAACAACGGCGCTCGTGGGTAGTCGGTGGTCGACTGCAGACCCGCGAGAAAATCACCTTTTTGGTTCTCTGCAACGGATGTTTCACGGATCACGCACGTGGGAGCCTTGCATGATTCTACTTGGGATGGTGGACCTGTCCCTTTTCCGAAGGCTTCCGGTTGTGCTTGCGGAGCGCGCTGAGCTGTTGGAAGCGCAAAGGCTTCTGTCATCCGGTCGTGGAGAGGCTAGCTTGGGGTGGCTTGGTCTGTCCTGGCTTATCTGCGAAGGCAGTCGGGATGCTGTGGTGGTAGGAGGTGGAGGCAGGGGCGGCGCCGGCTCCACGGAGTCCCGTCTTGCACGATCTTCGTTAGGTCCCTACCTTTGGCCTCTTTTGAGGTCAATTGATATGCTTGTCCAGCGGTTGGCCTGCAGGGAGGTGGCTGATCTGGCTGCAGCCCGGCAGGGTTGTCAAGAGTTTCCTGACAGGTTGCTTGGAGGAGTGCGGTCGGTGATGGAAGCACGTGATACCTTGTCGGGGTTGCTGGTGGCGGCGTCTGCTTCTAGTGACGAAGGGGCTTGGTCTCATCGTGCTTCCGCAGGAGGATCTCAGGGAGAGCTGTTATTCGCGTGGGATCCGTTTTTAGTGACGTGGCGGTGGCTGCAGAAAGCATTTGAGGCCCTGCGCGCGACATTGGGTGCCTTTCCTACCCTCATCAGCCGTGCCAACGTGTCATCAGCGTTTGCCACTGTTGACGCTGTTGGGTCCCGGGTTGACGCCGCTGTGTTGCAGTACGCGGGTGGTGCCGCACCTACCAGGGACACGCTTTGGAAGCACGGCCCTAGGGCGGCTGCTCCTTCCTCTGCTGCTGGGGCGATCGCTCTCGCGCGGCTCGGGCGTCTCGCGGATGAGTACCGGATACTCCCGTCCACCTTTCCGGTATCTACGGATTCTGGTTTGTTGTCCCTCGGAAGGCTAATGCGAGAGGCGCACCCTTCCCTCTGTGTATCTCGTGATACACGCGCGGAGCTTTTACACGCGCTGTGCACTCTCCATTGGGTGTGCTCCAACGAGCAGGACCAGGATGGTAGTAGTTTTTCATCGCACCCCGCCGATTTTGATGGCGGCAGCGTTTCGCTTGCTGCGCGTTTGCCGGGTTTGCTCGAGGACACCCTCAAGTCTTCCCGCGCCCGCTTCGAAGCTGCGCACAAGGGTACGCGGCTTGGTGGTGCCGGTCGGCGGAATGACGGCCTTGAGCATCACCAGGATGACTTGGAATATGGAGAGAGGTTTGACGAGTTTGACACCGAGGCAACAGAGGCGGTGGCTAATGCTACACTCCTTGTGGTGGCTGGAGATTCTGGTTCTGCCGGCGGGGACGGTATCGACGACGGGGTTCCCTATAACGGCGAAGGCGTGATGCAAAATTGGGCGCTTGTGCAGCTCTCCCCGTTGATGGAGCACTGGATCGCTGTGGAGGAGTGTGAGATTCTGGCTGTCCTCGCCGGGCTCGACGCCGCCGCTGCCCTCGGATGTCGAGAGAAGGTTGTGGGAGACAGCTTGGAGCCGCACCTCATGGCGCGCTTGTCCAGGCTGCGGTCGGCGATGCTGGTGACGCCTTCGCTCTCGCCTGCCGTGGCGCGTCCACACCAGACCTTGCTGTGGGCTTGGGGCGATTCGAGTTCTTGGCCAAATGTTGTCACACCCCTGCTGAAGCGGCTGCTTCCGGTGGCCATGGCATCCTTCGGTCGTCGCCTCTGGGAGAATGTTGTGGGTGCGCCTGAGGCGTTATCGCTCCAGCTTGCTCCACCTGAGATAGTCGACGGCGGCGGCGAGATACACAAGGAGTGTACGCCGAAAGGTTCGCCCGACACGTCCTTTGCTGGTCCGGTACAGCTCCTTACTCTTGCACGGTCGTCATTCTTGCTGCGGTTGTCGTCGACGGCCATCTTTTGTGGCGATGTTGCGCCAGGAGGCAAGCGGAACGCGGTGGACTTGACTCTCATGAACGCCTCTGCGCGACTCAGGCAGTATAGGGTGGCGATGCGCCGCGTGCGGGATCTGGCGTACGGTGGCAACGGCGGTGGGGGGGATCCCAACGGTGCGCTCAAACCGCTGGTGAAGCTGGCGTGGGCTAGCTTCTGCCGCACTCTAGGCGCGTTCGATGAAGTACAGGCCAGGGAAGTTGATGAGCCGGCCACCTTCGCCAATGCTCTGTTCCCCGCCGGTGGAGACGGTAGTGTTTCGTCATCTCCTTCGTGGGGGACGGTTAAGGAACCGCTTCTCCGAGCCCTTAGGTCCTGTCCAGACCAGCGGCTGGCCGCTCAAACAGATTCGCTGGTTTTACCTGCGGCTCGGCACCTCCTCGTTGCATCGGAAGGGCTTGTGGGTCAAAAGGCAGAAGGGCCTACGGCACGTGTGGAGGCCTCTGCGGGGCTTGGGATGGCGCTACTCGGGTGCCTGAAGCTCGTCCTGCTTCCTCCTTCTTCTCCTGTCGATCCGGGTCTGAAGCCTGCCCTAAAGAGGGAGCTTTTGGGTGAGAGGCTGGACGGGTACCGCGGGGAACTCACCGTTAGGCGGTGGTCTCTGAGACTCGAGGGCGGCGGGGACGTGTCTCCCGAGGTAGGTCATTTGGTTTGCAATTGGGCAGGGACAGATTTGGTATATCGCCAATGGACACGTCCTCCGTTTCTGTATTTCTTGTGGCAATATTTCACCGTTTTTCAGCTCGCTCAAAAGGCCGACGTTCAAAACAACCTGATATTTGAAGGTCCTTTGACTAACCGACGTTGGTGCTCTCACGTGAGGCATGTGCTGGAGGTTCGCGGGGGTTAGCTATGTGCGTCGCGTCGTCTGTCGATATCGTGGGAGTAAATATTAACGTATTTTACGTGGGGTGATCGTTGTCGGTTCTTTTCTAGGTGGTCTAACCTCGTGGTATGTACAGGCAGAAGCGAAACACAACTTGTTACGACACATGAAACGCAAACACGTCACCACATCGGAGCCCCTGTGCATCCTCCGGGTTGACGCGGGTTGGAGCTATCTTCATTGTCGGTTCGCAGCTTTGCAACAGTACTCGAAAACGGCTACACGCCGCTGAGATTAACCCGGATGGTGCCCTCATTACTTTGGTTCGTCGCGCATGCTCTGATGCGGCGTAACCGGTCGGTGCAGCCTGGAACATTTTACTCGCGAACGACATATGTCGTCTGTGGGCGTTGTAGTATTTCGGTTTGCTGTCGAAGTGGTTGTTATAATTGCATTTGCTCGCTTGCAGTTGTCCTCTAACGGAGCAATCATATTTACGTGCTTCTTTGTTTCGCGACAAGGCATGTTGATCGTTGTTGCTTCGTCTTCCCTCCGGGCCTCACGCGCGTTGATGCAGATGTTGCCCCTGCTGCAACAAGCCCGGAACCTTCGCGACGACTGCACCCGGCTTGGGCTCGAGGCAATCGAGCGTCCAGATGACCGCCCGAGTTTCCATTCGCTCTTTCGTGACGTCCAGTCCTTCGCGAGAGGACTGGCCGACCCCGACCGCGTCACGGCTCTGGCGCAATCTCTTGCTCGATTCGTAGACGGCGCGGGTGGGCTGGAGGATGATTTGGGCGGAGGTAGGGCCAGAGCTGTGGATCGAGCGGCATTGCTTCAGGAAGAGACTGTGTGGCAGGACGCCGCCGGTGCCTTCGTGGGTCGTTTCCGTTCGGAGTACGGGGAGGCCTACGCGGACGTCGTGACTGGTATCTGCGATGCTGTGGAGGTGACGCGGCTCGGGCTTCGATTGCTTGCAGCTGCTTGCTCGTCGGCTGCCCTTTTCAGCCCAACAGACGCCACCCCGCCGGAGAAAATGTTACCGAGACCCTTGGCCAAGCTCCAGGGTATGCTTCTCAGCTTCCCGTACCCTTGCTGTGAGGGACTGACTCGTGCTGGGGACGGGTCCGGGGACGGTGTTGGCGAAGCGTTACGGTGGACGCTAGGCCCTAGCGGGCAGGATAGCCTTGGTGCTAACGATGGAGGCGGCTTTAGCGGCTGGGCTTCCGGGCCTCAGCATATGATGCTGTTGCAGGTGCGTATATTGTTGACAGACGTCTTCGCCAAAGTGTTGAAGTCTCGTCTTCATGATGAATATTTTGGGGTCGTGGTCTGCTCGAATGGCCCCCAGCCGGGACTCGGGCGTCGCCGGACTATGCCCGTAGATCCCACTATACCAGAGCTGAAGTAATTGTGACCTTACGGTTGCTGCGTCTCGTCTCAATTCCTCGCTTGAAAGCCCCTGTCGTTTTTCGTTTGCTGGCCACTCTCGCCGCGGGTCGTACGGGTCGCACATTTGTATTTTCGATGAGCAAGACGTACGGTATGATGGAGCTCTAGGTGCATACCTCAGAGCCCACGTCAGCTTTTTTCTCACAAAGAGTGACGTAGCAGACTCATTCATCGATGTAGCTATGTTGGGTGGTTTAGCATGGGCAGTTGAAAGTGTCCTACCTACGCATTGCAAGAAGGAAGTGATTAGTAAATAACGTGAAATGCTTCGCAAATTCTCCATACCATCGCTGACCTTGGGTTGTTGCCATACGTTGGGTACTGTAGGTCTCGTTCATGTTCATCCCTGCCACATTTCCCCATGACTTTCCTCGTCGATTGCAGGCGGTGCTATCTCGTGCGGAGCTGTTGCTCTCGGCCGAGTGCTCCGCCCAGCCGGCCCTTGATGCCGCCGTGACTGCAATGGAAGGGGCAGTCGACGCTTGGTCTCGGGTCGAGGCGGAAGAGTTGGAGAAGCGGCGGAAGGAGGCTGAGATCCTTAAGTTCAAAATGCAGGAGCACGTGGTGCGTTTTCATGTGTAATGCTGTGTTGGCCTTGCATGCCTGGGATGTATAGCCCCACCAAACCGTGACAAGGTACAGGTAGCATAGCCAGACGTTTCTTCTGTCGTTGTGCAGTTTGAGTTTTTGCTCAAATGTTACATGCGATAGCATAAACGTTTAGCGTTTAGTGTGCAGGGCATTCCGAATGAAGAAGAAGAAGGTGTCCTATCTCAGTGAGGACCATTTAAAGCTTCACTCTAATTTTTTCCTGACGGAATGCCCTTAGCTCGAGCGTTTTGAATTTTGCACTCGTGTGAGTTTTCTCACGTAATTGAGTGCATTTATTACGCATTTATCGAAGTGATGAGGTAACGTCTTGGAGACCTGTTCTGCAACAGCGAGAGTACCCGTGGGACTACGCTTCACACCGTACCTCGCGGCCGCCCACGCACTTGAAGACGACCAAGCATCACTCTTTCTGATCGGCATCGTCTCGCACGTGACTTTTTCAGTGTCTTGCGGTTGGCAGTGTGGTGCTCTGGATGTCGCGTCTGTGTTGTAGCCAGTTGATGAAAGCAAGCTATCCTACCGTCGTGAGGACCTTTAGCTTACAAACACTCTAATTTTTTCACTGATGGCTAACCAGGCGACTCGACATCAGACGCGCATTTTGTGTTCTTCGGCTACGGTTTTAAATGTATTGCGTGCGGCATGAATGTTGACGTTGAGGTGAATCATGGCGACTTGTATACGTTCCTCAAATGCATTGACTTCCGTTTTCCCTGTTGGTTGGCTTTGTCCGGTTTTGTATTATCTTGATCTGTGTGTAGCTCATTACGGTGGTTTCGTGCCCGACATTGCCGGAATCCCCCTGACTCAGGTGGAGTCAGAGGAAGCGATAAGATTGGCCAAGCTTCGGGCCCTATTCCCAGACTACCAGAGCGGATTTGAGGACATAATCGCCGAGAACACTCCCACAGACAGCGTCGATCAGGACGAGGCTGGCGATAATTCTGGGACCGGCGATGGCGTTCTTGACGCGCGCGTCAAAGCTCTCGGCCACATGTCGGACAAGCACCTTTCCTCCCTCGTTGCTCGACATTGCCGCATCTTCTTGTCGCTGTCGGCAAGACGACGCCGCTCGTTGCGCGGTATATATGCGTCCCGGGAAGGCACATCCCCTGAAACGAATGGTGTTGGTAGCGGGAGGTCCTGTAGTGACGCCGAGACGCTGGTCGCGTTTAGAGACTCGTACCGGTCTTCTGTTCTCTTCGCCGCCTCTTCTTCGAAGCTCTCATCCTCTGTCGTGCTCTCCTCGCCCACCGTGCCTGATGCGGCGTGCACGGTGTTGCACATGGAAGAGGCGTTTGCCGCGTCACACCTGCTGGCCCTCGCGGATGCGGCGAGATTGTGCAAGACCGGTAGGAGTTTGCTGGAAGATGCCGCCGCGGGCGGCAAACCCCCCGCTTTCAAGAAGGCTTCGAAGGACAGGGTTGAGGGTGTTTGTGGAGTTGATGGGTGGCTCGGCGATGGCGCGGTCAGGAGAAATCTTCTCTTGGTAGACCCTCTGGTGAACTTCCACTTGGACGGAAACGTTGCCGAGACGAGGCTTGCGGACGGCCCTTTGGCGTCGGTTCTGCGGAGAGTTGCGGGTTTACTGGAAGATTTCCCTGGTCACGGCGTTCTCATACAGGTCTGTGGTGCTTAAGTCAGGATGCACAAATGCCTTCTGTTCGTTACGGTTTGGGGATGATTTTTTGTTAGCGTTTTCGATTGGCAAGTTTGGAAGTACAACATACTTGATGTCACGGATGTGGAATGTGAAATCTTGATTGCTTCGTTGCGTCGCTCTTGCCGTGCCTCTTGTCCCACGTTGCCAGCTTGCGAGGGTCGCCGACCGTGTACGCCGCATGCCGTTGCACTCGCCCCTGGCTGCGGTACTTGCCGGGGTCGAGCTCACTCTCCGGAAAGCTCAAGACTGGGAGCAGCACGCGCACCGCGGGGTTAGTCTCAGGGACGAGCTGCGGTCCCTGAGCTCTCTGGTGGCGAGGTGGAGGGCCATCGAGCTCAAGAGCTGGCCGCACCTGCTTGATGCTCGGGAAGGCGCCTTCGTTCTGAAGGTGAGGGTGGGAGAAAGGCTGAGTACAGTTTGGTTGTTTGGCCAGGGACGAGTGTCTAGAGATGGATATCACGGATAGTTGACCCCGGGAGTAAAAGGTTTTGCCGCAAGCAACGGTTCCATGGCTCCGCGAGACGCTGGTTATGATGCAATGTTTATCTGCGTTGTGCTGGGTACTTCATTATGGTGCATCAGGCAAACCGCTGGTGGCTGCATCTCTACCGCCTTTTGACGGGACACTGGAAGGAGGACTCGCAAGCCTCCAACCCTCTGCAACTCCAGTGTGGCCCCGCAGCTGCACCGGGAGGACTGCGCGTTTCCGATGAACCATCAACTGCACATCGGGTTTCTAGCGAGAAGGTCGTTAGCGCCCCTGATTGGCCAAGTGCCAGAGGCTTCTTCCCCGATTGGCTCTGGTCTGGGCTGGTATCGAACAAGGGCGTGGGTGTCACAGAGGAGTCATCGGGAGGGATCGATGCGGCATCACTCGACCACGCACGAGGTAAAGGGTTTTGACTTCCGTCGCTGACGTCGTACACAGGTTGGTCGCAATGTGGCTCCGTGTCTGGTCAGCTTCGGTCCGTGTCACACGGGACCAATCTGTCCTGTCGCTATCGGTTTTTTCGAAACAGACACGTTCCGGCCGGTAGGTTGGATGAAGGCCAGAAGTAGCCGTGAACCCAACTGTCTCGCTGGTCATCAAGCTCAATAAGCTTGTAGGGACGATACCGTACGTCGAACTACAATGGGATAAACCGACGTGCGATGAGGAAAATCTGGAGTACTTGTTTTTCCTTGATGGGGGCACTTTTGTGCTCTTGCTTGTGAAGAAGAAACCCTCACACCGAGCACTGCTGCTTTTACGGAGCCTCCGTAGTTTTCGTTTCCACCGAAGTACAGTAGATGAGAACCTTCAGTCTCGCATGCCCTTGATTAGGTGATTTAGGATGAAATCTTTTCTAGAAAATCCCTGGAAGTAAGTTTAATCGGGTCCCTGAGACACCCGCTCCTTGAATGCAGCTAGTTTGTCTTCCGCTAGTCAACCAGTATATCAGATTATGTGCTTGCAGGCGTCTTAGTGGAGGGGAATTGACGACAAACAAACCAAACGGCGATTAACTCGCCCCTGACGTTGCTTCGTCGTTTCGTGTTTTGCTTCCCAAGACCAAAATGGTTTGTCGTTGCATCTCACTGCGCGCTGTCTCTGTGATGGTTTATTCTGCGACTCCGATCTCCTTTTGCTGGTTCGTTTTGCATGTGTCTCCCGGCTTTGGGAGCTGTGTGGTCTTCTTCTAAGTAAACATTTTCGATGCGGTCTCAACGCATGCACGCCACACCGAACCTGCCTTGATGTGTTTCTGCGGCTTGGACTCAGGTCTTATTGCCGTATCAATTGTTTATTGATGTGCCCTTTGCTCTTGGAGGACAGTAGATATGGGTTGTTGGACGCGCAATGAAGAACGAATCGTATTTCATCGTCACTGATGAAGCGGACCTTCGGGACTGTTGTTTGATGTAACCACTAGCTGAAGACTAAGCGCTTTTGTCGTTGATGCCGGTACGTGTGCGCTCGGCTATGGACGTTGGGTGCGATGACGATCAAACCGTATTTCATCGTCACTGACAGGGTATCCCGCAAGGGCTGTTGCTGATGTTAACCAAAAGCATTTTACCGAGCACCCTTCGTATCTCGAGTACCCGCGCGCGTCGTAGCGTGCTTATTGCGTGCCCTTGTTGTTTTTATTTCGTCGGGAAGAAGACATGATGCAATTTTGAACAGCATGTTTTTATTTCGTCGGGAAGAAGACATGATGCAATTTTGTGCTCTTCAGGCACGCGTCTAACTGCTCCTCTCCCGCCCTTCGGTTTTTGCCTTACTCGTGTTTTTTTTCTGCCGCGCGAATCGATGTTGCTCTAGACAACACTAGTTGCGACCTTCTTGTCTCTTGCCTCGAAATACCACCGTTGCAACCTCCGTTTATTGGCAATGGAGCAGCATGGATTATGATATCGTGACGCGTGCTCCTGTACTGCGCTCAACATCTACTCTGGCCTTGTGTTGATCGATCCCTTTTCATTCTATGGCACACCCTTCAGGTCTATTTCAGCCTCTCGACGACTTCTTGCGTACGTCCAGCATCGGAGAATTTTTTGCCAGGTTGCAGATGCTGAGAGCGTTCGCCGCACAGCTGGGATCCTCCTCTAACGGTGGCACTATTGGTTCCTGTGATGATTATGAGACTTGTACCACGCGAGCACAGGCGTTGGGTATCGTGGTCCAGGGCCTGTGGCAGTACTACTCGCAGGTATGCTGCGGATTGGGATAATTTAGATGCATCGTAAGCACACTAGCAGTTTTTTCCGTCGTGGGCGAGTTCTAGCGCGCCGTCGAATGGTATATGGTGCGGCCTTCATGTGTAGATGGGTCTAAAATCGAGAGGGTCGATGGACTGGGTTGTCGAATTGTTATGGAAGGAGTACGTGGTCGCATACGGCACTTCATTCTTGTCAAGCACCGCATCCACTGTTGCTATAACGGCGTTTCTTTCCTGTGATCTCTAAATGTTGACTTGGTGCTTGATCGAACAGTTTTCCGAGGAAGTGGAGAATGCGAGGGCGTTAGTCCGCAAGAGCATCGAGAAGAAGCTCAAGGAGGAAGCCAAGCTCGCGAAGTGAGTGAAATCAATAGATGCAATCGATGGTCAAGCTCAACAGGGGTTCCCTTTTGTATCTCGTACCAAGTACAAGAAGGTATCGTACCAAGTACAAGCCCAACCCCGACTTCAACGTCCCTTGACTCGCTGTCTTCGTCGTTGTTCATCAGGTGGGACGAACAGACGTACTACTCCCTGGCCGAGTCTTCGGAAAAGTCGCACCGGAAACTGTTTCAGCTGGTGTCTCAGTACGACGAGGTGCTGGAAGTGTCGGTATCGGAGGTGCTCCACCGCACTCTCATCTCCGGGATCGGCGAGAGGCAGGAAGGCAATTACCCGAACCCCATGGCCCCTTGCACCGAGATTCCGACGCTTGGATCGATGTTCTCCGTCGTTAAAAAGGTGCGGCGAGGACGAGCGTTGTTTTGAGATCGGTTTTGTTCCGGACACTTCATGGAACGAGCGCACTACTGCATTGTGCCACTAACGCCGGAGCCTCTGTCATCTCAACGACAGACACGTGACAGAAGTTGTTTCTGACCCCTCTCCTGTTCTTGTACAGGTGGATACCGCGGTCGATTTCCTCGATGACGATGACGAAAAAGACCGGAGCGATGTGGACCACTCCGGCAAGCAGCGGCCTGAGTGCGGCGTCGACGAGAAACCGCATCCTGCTGCTGTCAAACCCTCCAAGCCGAAACGGCTAACCTTCAAGACCACGCCGGCCGCCGGAAAATCCCTCGAGCTGCTCGACGCCTGCCTGCCGGGACCTCCGCCAAATCGTACCGCCTCCATGCCTGGACTCGCTGCTGGGGACACGGGGGAGACTCCTCTTTGGCTGACGGAGGCTCTTTTCTCGACCAGCAGCGTTCGCGCCGACGCCGCCGCCGAAACTGGCGTCATGTCGGGGACGTCTGCTGCGGGGCCACCGGTGGTGGCTCGTCTGGCACCACTTGCGCATCGCATGCGGTCGTTGCTGATGCGGAGTGTCTACGCGCGAGGGCGGATCGGTTCGGGAGGGGGGTGGGCGGACGGTGGTCGGCCCGCCGGATTTGTCGGCGCGGGTCTTGCGGAGGAGCTGTGTCTGGCGGTGTTTTCCCGGATCCAGGGCTTGAGGGCGAAAGGCGTTGGGAAACAGGTGTGTGTGTGCTGTGTGCTATGTGTAGCCGATAACCGAGGCCCGATGTTGTTTGTCCACTCGAGGCAATTCTCGTGTTGTTTAGTGTTGTTGGTCATAGTGTTGTCGGCACGGCGGCGGACCGGACGCAACCAGACACCGTCCGGCACACGAAAGCAGTGGTTTGAAGTTCCCCGCTCGTATTCGTAGTGTTGGTAGCGTGATTTTTTGGCACTTCTGCTCTGCGGAGAGCCTAGCATGGCTCCTCGATGATTGGGACACAAACCGACCCTGCTGCTGCAAACCCATCTCTTTCTATTCCGTCTAAATACAACGGTCGTGCCGCGTATGTTTTTCGAAGGAGTGATCGTTTTATCTCACTCACACCCACGTCATCCCGCACACAATCTTCATGACAACGATACAGGTAAAAAAACGCGCGGTGCTCGATCTACTGGGAGGCTTGCGAAAACAGGGACTCTCCCATGCGAAGTCCAACACTCCTCCCCAGACTTCCGACATGCTCCGCGTCATGGCGCTAGCGCAGCCCTTCTGCGAAGACGGCCTCGCCGGCTTCGACATCGCGTGGCTCTTTTCCGGAGACGGCGGAACCCGGAAGGCTAAGGTTAACGGCACCGATGATGTCGCTGCGGATTTATTGAGGAGGAGTGAGCGGTATTACCTTCGTGGCGTGAGCGAGTTGTCGAGGCTGCGCCTAGAGGCGGGGGCACCCGTGTCGAGCGACATTACGCGCAGGGAAGCGGAGGTAGGATATCGTCTCCGAGCTCGTGGTCGTTGGATGTTTGTGGTGAACTTCATCGATGACACCCTGACAAAAAGTACTGGTTTCGAACGTACAGACTGGATTGTAGGGATTCATACGATTGTTTGGTTCGTGTGTGGCATGTCAAAATTTAATGATTTGTAAGGGCGTGGAGTGAATTTAACACAGGTGTTTGTTTTTTTTCTGGTCACGCTAGACTTATGGTGTCATGCGTCTTGTCACCTTGCCAAGATGTCACCAAGATGTGCACTATTAATCTCTCGTCTCGACTTGATTTGACCCCCACGTCGGATGAGTTTCATGCCAGTGCAAGATTAAAGCCAAGGCCTTTTGTAGTGGAGGGCTCGGTACGACTCACTTTGTCCCCCTGTCACGGCCTACAGCCGTTAGGAGGACCATTAAGTCGTACCATATTTTGGTAGTTGTTGTCGTTTTGGTTATTAGTACAGGTTGGCGATTTGTCTCAACATTTGGTGGATCATTGTGGCCAATGGTAAAACTAGCCAAGACCTTCCGTACGACGCGCCTGCCGTGTTGCGCTCGGCCCAGTTGTCGTCGGTTTCTTGAACCTGTTTGTTCAAACTGAACAGTCAAGGTAGGGTGCAAGTCAAGGGCAATGCAGGCATGCCGGGAAAACCGTTGTTGGTGTAGTGTGTCTCTGTTGACCACTACGATATGTCCTGGCCGGGTTTGTTCTCGACGTGTTGTGTCGGCTTGACGGACGCATTTGATAGGTGATGCGCGGTCTGGCCGAAAACCTGGGGTTGCTGGTGCTGCAGCAAAGGGGTGTCGCAACCGCCCTCGAATCGGACCTCCTCTCCTTCGTTCAGGAGGTTCGGGCAATGCAGTCCCTGACCACCGACTACGGCGTTTCCGCGGCGAGCTCGGCGGAAGCATCTTCCCAGAACACTTCAAGGGAACCGTCAGCTATCCCACCGCAGTCTACCCTTCGGCTCGCGTTGGAGACTCAGCGTCGGGGGCTTCTGAGAGGCCTCGAGGCTGTGCGAGAAGTGCAACTGTTGCTCACGTCGATGGCAGGTTCCGACCCTCCCGTCGCCTCGGCATCATCTCCGGAGTCTCGGCTGAGGAGGGCCAGAGGCGGGGAGGGGTGGGGCGAGGCGGCCACCGATGCCACAACATACGCCGAGGTTAAGGCCGCTGTTGATTCCCTCCAGCGATCGCTCTCGGGGATGCTCTGCGCCGTCCAGCGATACCCGCCCCCGACTACAATCCACGGTGCCACTTTGGAGGTCGGCGAGGATGGTACGCAGACCGCGACGCCGCTGCTTGCCGCGCGGGCGGCACGCCTCGTGTTGGAAAATCAGGAGGCGTTACGAGCGTGCTCGGCGGACTCGAGGGAGTTATCCAACCGTTTCGCCGGCGTTCTGCCCCGGGCGATGCTCGTGAGGGTTGCCACCCACCTGAGTGATGTGGGCGTTAGTGTTGGGTCCGTGCTGGACGGGAACTCGGCCATGCGGTCGTGGCTCGTTGCCGATGGCATCAGCTGCGGCGACGGCGTCGGTGGCCGGAAGGAGACTGGGGGTTCTGGTAACTCCCGGCAATCGGCAGCTAAGCACACCTCAGAGGTCGGAGGAAGGTTGACGGCCGCCGTTAAGGCGATGCTGCTTTCGGTTCAGTCTCTCTGCCCGCGGGCGGACAAAGGACCGGCGGATGGAACCGATGCGCCGTCACCAGTGGCGGCGAAGGACGGCGGTACTGCTGGCGGTCAAAACGAGGAGGGGGAAGATGCCTGGTTTACCGGGACCACGCTGTTCGAAGCGCATGCCTCTGCGTTCGAGCAGGCCAGGGGGCTGAAGCTGTGGAGGTGTGCATCGGCGATGGCCTCTACACGTCTTGCCCTTAAGGAGTTTGCCGATGATGAGGCTGTTCGAGGCGCTTCGGCCGGGGAGGCCGCGGAAGCGCTTGTTGGGCTCTGCCGCGAGGTGCTGGTACTGGCCGAGCAGGTGTTGTCCGCCGGGAAGGCGGTGCTGATCGGCATGGTCGCACTTAACAAGGTGGGGTAGCAAAGTTTCCATCACGAGTACGCCATCAAGGTGTTGGCTATCGTTTTAGAGGTCGAATACATGGGGGTGTTCATTGGTGATGTCCGTTACGCCCAAGGTAGCAGTTGCGTGCGCAGAACCGGTCCCCATTGGAGGCGAGTCGACGATTGACCCAAGGGCTCGCCCCCAAGTTGAGACACGGGAGATGAATGTCGCTGAAACTCAATTGCCGGGGCCTTTACAACGCATCAATCGATCTGGTAGTGCCCTCTAGCACCAGCGCGAAATTTCAAAAGTTTACGACGTCTGCCGTGGGCGTGACGCGACCGATACTCTTCATTTTCACATTCCGAGCCTCGTGCTTGAGCATTGCCTTGTGCCGTGATGTTTACATCGTGTGAAGATGACATCACGTGGAATGTTATGGTGGTTTTAGTTTTTATGAAAGACACGATATGTCCTTAGTATCAAAGCAGTGGATGGTCCGAACGCACGTGTTTACTAGGGGAGATTGGATTGTTGCTACACAAAGGGTGCGACATCGGTGAGGCGCTCGTTGGCCAGTCGTTTGTCCCTTGTATCAAATGCTCGTATGCGTCGTACGGGTCAGGTATGTGCACATGACGCTCGCGCATGAGTTTCACGAGGAAAGTTGGATGTTTGAAGCTGACAAAGAAACCATCAGGTGCCAAGCGGCCGTGCTAGAACCAGAAGCATCAGGTTCTCTATCCCCTGCATCTTGTTTCTCGTGCAAGGCTCACGAGCAAACGTCTCCTCCTCTAATACCTGACTGGTGCTGAACGCATCGTATCGGTACATCGGTACACGACTGAAATTACCGAGAAATGTTTTTCATTCCGTTTGCTTGGTATGGACCGCCGTTTTTTTAACGTGCATGAAGTAGCGGACGTATCAAATCGATCGATCGGTCGCCTTTTCTTCGCCCGCATGTTCATATTGCACCCAACACCCTTTGCTATGCCAGGAACGCCCTTGTCCTTTTGCGCTTGTTGTTGCCAACATTATTTTTCACGCCATGATGATTTGTCATGCCCGGCAGGGAACGGCGAAGTTGCATTACGTGACGGTTCGGGTGTTCCGCACGTTGCTCTCCAAGGGTCTATGCTCGGACGAGAGTGAAGGAGAGGGGGAGGGAGACGGGGACATTGATGGGATGAAGGTAACACGCGCTACCTTGGTACATGCACGCCTAGACGTGTACCACATTGCGTCTAGTTCACGTGAGGAGTGGGTTTTGAACCAATCACTAATCATGACACGTGGCTTTCGTCGCTGCGATGTGAGCAGGCCGTTCTACAAGGCAGTCCTCGGGGTGGTTGTTTCGCTTTGGCCCATCCAGCCCATTGAATGATTTTCTCTACGGGATGTGTACATATATGCGGGTCGTCCACGAATAGAGGTCTCACCTGTATTGCAAGACCAGACCTAACTGTTTTCCTCATAGTTTGGTTGAACACCTTCAGTATTTTGGTGCTGAAGTGCTCCACGGCGCAATCATTCGTTCGCCGCAGTTCGACGACGATGTTGAGGGTACGGGCATGGGGGAAGGCGAGGGCAAGAAAGACGTTACGGACCAGATCGAAGACGAAGAGCAGCTACTTGGCCTCAAGGGAGACGAAGAGCCGGATAAAGTCCAGGATCAAGAGGCCAAGGAGCTAGGTTTGTGTGGCGTTGTAAAGCGTGTCGTTGTGTCGTAGAGGTCTCTTGTTCATGAGGTTGTAGAGGGAGACTTTGGTTTGATCCTTGAAATCGGATCGTTTAGCGTACGTCATGAACTTTTCAAAGTCTCCCTCTACAACCTCATGAAACAAGAGACCTCTACGACACAACAACACGCTTCCGATTTCTTCCCAACTATGTCCATTTGGGTTCTAAACCGTATCTCATACTAGTATGTCGTAGCCAGCGGCATCAGCGTGTTAGTGTTGGCGTTGCTGCGGCTTCTGCACGACTTGAATGTTGATTTTACCGATCGGTTTGCCCGATGGTATGATGTGTGACACTGTTCCAGGCGAAGACGACCAGGACAACGGAATGGAAATGGAGAATGACTTCGAGGGGGACATGTTCGACGTGTCTAAGGGAGACGAGAAAGACGAAGATGATGAGGTGTGTGGTATGTATGTGTGCCGCGAGACGCGTTTGCATGATCCAGGCGGGCGCTCGACGCTTCAAGATAGTTTTTGCTCAATTCGAAGATGTTTCGGTTTGTTTTCCTCGGAATATTTTTTACGGATGGTCTGAAATGTTCCATACGATATCCTTCTGGTTGCCCTAAACAGTTGTAACGTGTCCAACTCAACACACGGCCTCAGGCCCCTTTTTTCATCTTTTTCAGGCCGAAGTCCCTCATGCCTCAAAAACCAGAGGTATGTGATGTAATAAACTCTAATCAACTCTTAGTGCTGATGTACGTATCTTCGTTGGACGTTCCAGGCCCGGACGCATGGCGTATGTAGAGAACCACTGTATTTGTCCGTGGTGTAATGCTCGAATGGCCCCCAGCCGGGACCCAGGCGTCTCCGGACTATTCCTGGTAATCCCACTATACTCGAGCTAAATTATCTGTGACCATTACGGTTGCTGCGATTCCTCTCAATCCCTCGCTTGAAAGCCCACTCCGTCTTCGGATACTGGCCACTCTCGCCGCGGGTCGTTGGGCTCGCACATTTTCGTTCATGTCCTTTGCTTCGTTTTCACCGCCATTAAATTCTCCTGATTGCCGCTTCAGGACAATGTGGCACCGGTGTGTCTTCTTGTTGGAATGCGCGCGAGATATGCATGGTTGTAGAATGCCCCTAGTTGGCGAGGAAACATTCCGATGTGGATGATTGCTGACGAATTCAACCCACTTTTGTCGCATGTTAAGGAGGATGACGGGGATGAGAAGGAGGAGCTCGACCGCGAAATGGGAGATCTCGGAGATAATGCCGATGTTGTGGACGAAAAGCTGTGGGACGAGGAGGACGAGGACGAAGATCAAGAGGAAGGGAAGAACCAGGGGGAGGAAAAGTTTGAATCTGGGTGAGAGACAGTGTCGGTAAAGCCTGTCACTGCATGACTCACTCTTGTCTTCTTGGTACCTTTGAGGTCGGAGGGGTTTCAAGACGCGGAGGACCTGACTGCGTAGCCATGTGTCCGCCTCTGCATGAGCCGTTGTTGCATGGTTGTCTTGGTGATGCCTTTCTCGTCGTACAGGAGCGCACTTGGTGTTTATTTCAGCTCGTGGCTAGTTCAAACCCCCACATGATGCGAGCTTCATACTTGTGCCACAACAAACCAAGACCCTGTTTGCCGTAGCCGAGTGAAAAGGCTATGCGACTAGCGTTGTCCACACGAGCGATTCCTTGGCCTGCCGAGGACTTATGTGTCGCCCCACATGCACTAGGGTTAGGGTTTACAGAGAGCCCTGCTGCGATGGGTTCATCTCGCTTCGTAGCGGCTTGCTAACCCTATATATAAGTCGTCTTTCCCGAAATCCTGGGCGGATTTCAGCAGCTAGTTCGATGGTCGCTGGAGTAAAAGGAGAATGGAGACAAGGTCATGGCTCAACCACCGGCATGTTTGAATTGATTATCATGGTCCCTCTGGCCTCACGGTTGTTGCCATTGCTGTCTCTTTTCCTGTGGTATGTGCAGGTCCCGTCTGGATGGAGAAAAGCCTGAAGAAGACGAGATTCGCACCAAGGAGGATGGCCAAGACGATGGCGACAAGGTAAGTATTCACTTGTCCACCCCGTCGCCCGTTGGCACGAGGGTGTGATGTTATTTCGGGCCTATTCGTCTGTTTAAAACATGCCAATAATTGAGCGCGTTGATGTGCATGGTCGCGTGCAGTCCCCCCTCCCCCCCCCTCGCGAAGCGGGTTGGTTTTGTCCGTGTTGCGGTGGTTCGCCGTTTATGGCACTCCCGCATGTCTATCTGCCACAGAGTTCCGCCAAACCATTGGCGTGATCGTCTGCCATGACCTGCGCAGAGCAAAGCTTGTCAGTATTATGATAGGAACCGTCGGGTACAGGGGCGGTGGTCACATCGTCCGCTCACTACCCGCACGGGCTGAACGCTGTCAACATGACGACCCTCACTAAAATCAAGTAGTCAATTATGAAGTTGATGTTCTCTTGTGGTGTGTTTCAAACGGCGAGAGACTGAGACTGCAGGAGAGGAAGCGCGCGTCCTCGGAGTAGCAAAACAGCGATATCTGCGATTGACACTAGGATCACGACCAGCGGGGAGCACGCCGGGGGAAAGCGGGGTCTTGTTCCATGTGTGCTGTTGCTAGTGTCGCAGCAGTGGTGCAAGATGTGAAATCGGCTTTGGGTTATTGTCCGACACCTGGTTCTCTGTCAATTCGCTACACGTGTTATGTGACCGTTTTCGCTCTTCGCTCCAGTGCCGTATAATCACAGTATTGCTTGGGCCATTGGCGTATTTGGGTCATGCTCCTGGGGGTGGTTCCTACTCAAATTTGTTTCCACTCATTATTTGTTTGTTCCTGCCGTACTTCAGGGAGATGGCAACGAGGACGATAAGGGCAAAGACATGGAGGATAAGGAGGGCAAGGATGGTGATGGTGGGGACGGTCAAGATGGGAAGGAAGGCGAAGATGGTGACGAAGGGGAGGGAGAAGCAGAAGGTGAAGGCCCTGTGAACGATGATCTAGAGGATAACTACGAGGACAAACCGATGGGTGTCGAGGTGAGCAAGCGCTTTTTTGCCGCATATAACATCTCTAATCGTGCTTGGTAGCCCACAGCACGTCGCGTCATGGGAGTTTCGGTCCGAATTAGAGGTTACCGAAGGCGAAATTTAGCCCTCGAGTGTTCTGCAGGCGCCGTTTCGCGAGTGTTTGGTTGATCGGTCCATGACGAGATGGTGACCCCGCAGGTCTATCTGCCACAGAGTTCCGCCAAATCATTGGCGTGTTCGTCTGCCATGACCTGCGCAGAGCAAGGCTTGTCAGTATTGTGATAGGAACGGTGGGGTCAGGGACGGTGGTCACATCGTCCGCACACTACCCACACGGGCAGAACGCTGTCAACACGCGATGATGCTACAAATGATTGTTATCCTACCCCAAGTATTTCAGGCGCCACAGGTGGTGGTCGTAAGATGTGCAACCTGATCCACATGGTTTCCAAAAAGATGAATGCCATACGAGTTCGCCGCATTGGTGGTTAGTGATATCCTCGCATGAAGTTGAAGCCGCTCGCGAAGATTGTACAGCCCCGACAAATCAGGAACGATGATGTTTCTAGTGCAGTGTAGATTCTTCACAGCACAGCTCTCTTTCGAGTACATGGGCAGTGGTGTGGTTTATCATCCTTCAATCACACTCCGTTCTGATGGCTGTCCTTTGGATGTGCATATTGGAATATTGGAACGTTGTCGTTGCCAGGTACGTGGGGAAGACGAGGCAATGGAAGTAGACGAGGAGGGTAGGGATGTGGAGGGAGAGAACGAGAAGGACGGCCAAGGGGACGAGGAAGGAGAGAACGACATTCCAGATGACCTCAACTTGGACAACGCTCAAGAGGTATGCACACAAGATTGCAACGAAACCTTCCTCATGAAGGCTTGGTTCGTCGAACCCAATTTTTGACATTCATCAGCGCTGAGCGATTCCTCAATCGGCTTCACCGAGTCCCAACCGCGTTACGTCATTCTCACCAATGAACTTTCGGGCTGCGGCATTCTTTGTTACCGTAGCATCACAATAGTCATCTGTCGTCCACCTGTTGGGGTGTTGATGCGGGTTTTGTTGCATTGACGGATGACATCGAGTAGCAGTTGCGTGCGCATAACCGGTCCTCATTGGAGGCGAGTCGACGATTGCCCCACGGGCTTGCCCCCAAGTTGAGACACGGGAGATGAGCATCCCTGAAACTTAATTCCCGGGGCCTTTACAACGTATCAATCGATCTGGTAGTGCCCTCTAGCGCCAGCGGGAAATGTGGTGATGACTGTAGAACAGCGACAAGCCTACGCATGGCGTGTCAGCTGCGTTTCTTCGACACAAGTGGCTGACAGTGGGGCCAAGGCGTAGTTGATCTTCCTTTCGAGCAGGAACAGTGGCAAGGCGGGCGATTTTTCTATGAACGGTCAAGATGCCCTCGTTGTTTTGAGGTTCGATATAGGCAGGTGTCAACTCGGCAGTCAGGCAGAAGATTAACCGAGTGGGAAGGAACGAGTGTGTCGCGAAAATATCTTGCTGTGCTTTGCTTTGCTCTTGATAAGTTGTATAATTCTCGATGTTTTCACGGTGCGGTGCGCGATGTGTTCGGACAGGATGGTGGCGACGAGGAGGGCGACGAGGGAGAGGGAGAGGGGGGTGCTGATGGCAAGGAGGGAGGGGAAGACGACGAAGACGAAGAGGGCAAAGAGAAGGAGGGCTTCGAGTCGTTAGCCCCTGAAAAGGAGGGGGAGGAGAAGGAGGAAGACTTGATGGAAGGCGAACAGCAACCTCAGGCATGTACAGCTTTCAGCCACTACTGCGGTTATACAAAACGTTATTTGGAACGCACTGTAGGTCAGCTCGAAAGGGTATAGGTTGCGGCTTGGCTTGTAATGGATAACTCTGTTGTTCACCCTGCCGAACCCCAAATCCTACACCAGATGGCTACAGTCTACCCACGGCCGTATCTATAGTACTGACTACCGTTTTTCCCTTACGTGTGTTGGTGGTAATTCTCCCAGGGTTTGGGTAACCCTGGTCCTGCCGACGTTGGACCAATGGAAGAAGAGAAGAGGGAAGACGAGATGAAGGATGAAGAGGGTGGTGACGAGGAGAATAATGCTGCCATGGAAGAAACGAGGAGGGCCGAGGTAGCGAAAGAACCTCCGGCGTTCGGCGTGGAGGGGGAAGGTGGCGATAGCTCTGTGCTCGAAGCAGCCAAGGACGAGGTGAGACATGTGACGTGTTCCATGTGTATCATACGCCGTGCTTGCCTCGTGTCAACACGTCTAGAGGGTTGTCATGGTGTGTTGGTCCAATCTGTAGTCTGGCGCCAGGCCTTTCGGTGTATGTATCTGGTGTATCAGCCGGGATATAAGTGTGGATTTATGTGTGGGTGCAAGTGTGGATATTTGGCAATGATAAAGAATTACAGGGTAGGCATCGAGGCGTTCTGTTGGTGTTTTGCCGACTGTGGAGGTGTAGCTGTCATTGATAACCATGGGTGCTGTGTTGGAGCAGCCTTTGACTACTCCCATGTTTTTACGCCACGTCACGTGTGGTGCATACGGAAAGCTGCCTCTCAACACACTATGCCAAGCACTTGTGCATTTGGTACTTGCTCCCTTGTGTGATGTTCGTTGCTTGTGCAGGGAGAAGGAAAGCCCACGGAGGACGAGCAAGGAGAAGATGAAGAGAAAGAGGAGGGGCAGGTGAGCCTTCTCTCTCTTCCTTGGGATGTCTCGCGCTTTACACCGAAAATGCCTTCTATACTCGACACTCGGGGGTAACTTTTGGCTTGATACAGTACATGCTAATGAACGTGGATGTATAGTCTATTTTCCGCAGGTCTATCTGCCACAGAGTTCCGCCAAACCATTGGCGTGTTCGTCTGCCATGACCTGCGCAGAGCAAAGCTTGTCAGTATTATGATAGGAACCGTGGGGTACAGGGGCGGTGGTCACATCGTCCGCACACTACCCACACGGGCTGAACGCTGTCAACACGACACACCGTGTACAGCATGATGGTTAGGTTAGGGTTAGGGTTACAATCGTTTGGTCCCCACCCTCAAGGCCGCAATGTTGAGAAGTTGGTTGGTTCTTGTTTCGGTTGAAGATAGCTGTACCAGGCAGGCACCGCAGCGTTTGGACAGGGTAGACCACCAACAAAGAGTATGACTGAAGCGGGTGTTGGTTTGTGTGTTTCGCTTGGTCGGGGATGTTTCTGAATCGATCATGAGCCGGGTGCTGCGGTTTTGGAGAACCGAACTCACTGGTTTTGACCAACCTGTCGTTGGACATGTCGAGTCTTCCAACGACAATCCCACGAGTTCATTCGCGCATCACTTAAGTGTTTGGTGGAAGGTGGTATCTCAGTACACACGTTTAGTGTATTAATATGTGACTGTGACTGCTATGTGACTGCAGGATGGCGGAGGGAGTGCTCCCAATGGACGAGATGATGGAGGCGGTGGTGGTCAGGGGGAAGATGGTGAGGGAGGAGAGTGGCGGCCCGACATGGCAAGCGGAGAAGGAAAGGGAGAGGGTCAAGGCAACGATAAGAGAAGGAGACCGGATGCGCCCAATCCGTTCAGGTAATAATATACACATCCCACCACAACTTGATGTTTTCGTAGTCCCGTGTTTTGTCGGAATGAGTTTGTTGCTTACGTTTGACGTGCTGTGATTTGGTTGCTCTTGTCAAGGGTGTTCATCGCAAGAGAATGAAGTGTTGTAATATCGACTCCGGGACAGCGGTAAGGATTGGTTGTCATTGTAGCACCGCAGGTCTATCTGCCACAGAGTTCCGCCAAACCATTGGCGTGTTCGTCTGCCATGACCTGCGCAGAGCAATGCCTGTCAGTATTATGATAGGAACCGTGGGGTACAGGGGCGGTGGTCACATCGTCCGTTCACTATCCGCACGGGCTGAACGCTGTCAACATTTGGTTGCATCCCTGCGCTTGTTGAGAGGTATCAGGCATTGTATTGAAGCTGCTTGTCGATTTGATTTCGTTAGGTCACCATCAACCCTTCTTGATGACGTGAGTGCCTGTGAACAAAAGCGCCGTACAACAGACGAGTGAAATCACACAATTTTCATGTTTTTCGATGACTGTAGGGTCTACCGTTTTTTTTTTTTTTTCGTAATATGACAACCCGAATCCGTCAAAGAACAGTCTGGAGATATATGAGCAATGAATATGTGTGCTACGGTGCGGAGTGGTGTTGAACATAGGGCCTTAACAGTCGATTCGCGCTTGCCGTCTGTGTAAACTCCTGCAATATGCTGAATGTACTTCTGCTTGTTACATGGAACAGAGATCCTGGGGATGCCATGCGGCATTGGCACCGTCGTCTGGACATGCTCCAGGATAAGGACAAGGAAGAGGCCGCCCCGGGTGAGAGCGGGGAGCATCCTTGTTATCGTCTCCATCAACTACATGGGCGCTAAGCAAGCGGTTTTCCCTCTGCCGAGTGTGGTCTCCGATTTGTGAAGCAAATTTGATATGCCACGTGCAGGATGGCAGTTTTGTTTATTGCCGGCAGACCTTGTGAAACCATATCGAATCATCTGGTAGTTAGGTAGTTGGCCTCTTTTGTTGTACGGCGTGTATGCTCATTTCCCCTATTCCCCGTTACATCTTCAACTTCCTCGTGTTCGCGGCGCAGAGGGAGGGGGCGAGAAAGACCTCGGGGATGATGATGGTGGAGAGGGCAAGTTCGAGTATGTCACTTCCACCGAGAGAGGTTCCAGCCAGGTGTGGCTTGATGGTATGGTGCTGCTGTCGCCTTGTCACGTGTGTGGGCAGCTTAATAGCTTGACAAGGTCGCGGTCTGTAGTGCAACACTGTGGTTTGCTGCTCTCATGCTATACTGCTGTACCTGTCGCCTCGACATGATGGTGATGCCAGCGGCTTGGGTCGTGAAATTCGTGCGTTTACCTTACCCGCTTGCTGGTGTCGATGTTGATTTTGGTTGCAAGTTTTTGTTTGACTTGCTGGCCCACATACCTGACTTGGCCTAACACCCAAGAGCAAGATTGCGAGGGAACGGAGATCACCTCGTGTGGGGCGTAACGATGACGTATTTGGTGCTGTTGTGGTCTTTGTCAGGTTCTTGGAGGCGTGTCCGAAGAACAAGCCGCTGAAGCTGCCCACGAGCAGTCCAAGGCCCAAGACGACGGGGGTGATGGTGACGAGGACAAAGACAAGGAGAACGTTGTCGAAGATGGGGACGTTGGAGACGCTGATGCACATGATGGAGTGGATGCCATGGACCAAGACCATGAACAAGACGTGAGAAGAGTGTTGAACGTGGGTGGCACAATATCGGTCCATCTTTTTTCTTTTTTCGATACTTGCGAGGGTAAGAACCAAGGGTCCACGGTTATGGATATGACATGCCGTTCGCCCTCGATAGCGTCCCCTCTTTGTAATGATTCGTTGGGAGATGTTTGCTTGCTCCTAGCACCGTGCAACTCAGGTGGCTCCATCGTAAGATCATTCCGCAGTCATTGGTGGTGGATTGAACCCTTGCGGCTTTGCAGCTGTCGTTACCTAGCGTTCGCATGAGCCTCAAATCGTTGAATTTGTTGGTTTTCTGTGCTTCTGGGTGTCCATCTATGGAGAGCAGGTGCCGAGAGCCGATGGTGACGAGGAAGGTCTCCACAAAGATGGTTCGGAGGTGGTGGATTCTTCCAGGAAGAGCGGCAAGCGGAGAGACAAGGACGGTCATCGGGAAGGTGATTGTTTTGAGTTTATCCACGTGAACCTGCTCTTATGTAATTGTCGTTTGTGGTCGTGTCGATGAAAGTCTCTATTGCCATCCGTCCTGTGAGCTTCATATTTAATTAAACTCTGAGCCTCGGCGCTGCAGAAAGAATGTCGAAAATCAGTGAGGACGATGTCATCTATGGACCGTGTAACCACAAGGGACAACCGCATTGCGTCCAGCAACTTGTCAGAGTCATGTCGTTGTAGTGGGGTACCTTGCTGTTCATGCCAATTGCAAACTTGGAGACGGGTTGCGTTTTGTTTGTTGTCGAGGTCACTGTTGCATTTAGCGTTTCTGAAGTCATTCAACGTTCCCGCAGGTCTATCTGCCACAGAGTTCCGCCAAACCATTGGCGTGTTCGTCTGCCATGACCTGCGCAGAGCAAAGCTTGTCAGTATTATGATAGGAACCGTGGGGTACAGGGGCGGTGGTCACATCGTCTGCACACTACCCACACGGGCTGAACGCTGTCAACACGAACGCCTTTTTCATGTTCTTGCCATGTAGGTTTGTCAGGTGATTAGTATTTACTTCGATTGCGAGGGTTGGAATCGATTTGCTGATGAGCTTGCCAAGTCAAGCACTTTCCGTGGGAAGAGTTTTGTTTTAGAAGAGGTAGTGGAGAGAAACACTTACGAATCGTGCTTTGTGACCTGATCGTCGAGTCGTCCCTTTGCCTCGGCGTTTTTCGATATTTATCGCGAAAATCAATGCAAAAGAACACGATTGCTAGAAGCTGGCATGGCAACCTTGTTCACCCCTCTTATCGTCAATGTGCCGTGCCATCCGATGGTCGTTCGTCCTTATCTTACCGTGCGGTATTTTTGTTTGGACAGAGGTGGAAGACGGAACGGACCCACAGCAGGAAGACGGGAACGAAGAGGAAGACGAAACCCCTGTCCTCGACACCGAAAACGCGTCCTACGACCTCAAGTTCTTGGAAGAGCCACCCCCGGGTGCCGGAGACAGCGCCAACGGTGCCATCGTTACAAACCCTCTCGCCGCTCGTGGGGACCAAAAAGAAGGTGGGCGACAGTCTCCACGGGACCGTGAGACCAGCCTCAGGGAGGAGCTCCACGCGCTGGCGGAGGAGTTGCAACGGGTGAAGCGTCACCGTGACGGAGAGGAAGGCGGTGAGGTATCGCAGAAGCTGTGGGGTAGGCTGAGGAGCGTCACCGGCGCGCTGTCCCAGCGCCTGTGCGAGCAGCTTCGTCTTGTTTTGGAGCCCATGGTGGCGACGAAGTTGCAGGGGGACTACCGCTCGGGTAAGAGGATCAACATGCGGAGGGTCATCCCGTACATAGCGTCGGGCTTTAGGAAGGACAAGATCTGGCTGAGGAGGACCAAGCCCGCTAAAAGGGACTACCAGGTGAGAGTGAGAATGGGACGAGAACGCGCCCGCTTCGCCCGACCTGTTTGGTGGAGATATGCCCGACTTCGCTGTTGGCCTGTAGGATAATTGTGTGCAGTAGTTCCTGCTTGGGCCGCTTACTTGACGTGGTGAAATCTCTTGGTGAAGACGGAGGATCCAAGTTGTCCCACACCGTGAAAAAGGACAGTTGCCCCTTTCAGGCCGGTGTTTTGAGGTGGCACATGGTGTCCTTGAACAGGGACCGCTACTGCTGTGCCGTGTTCTGGTTGTCGTTTCTTTTGGGGAACCAACGGGTCATTCGCGGTGTGGTTCGGAGTTGTTTGCCTGATGCATACTTGACGTTAGCTTCTGTCTGGTACCTGGTACTGTATGCTACATAGTCTACCCTGTATATCTATTGCTGGCGCTGGCGGCCCGGAGTAGTGTCTGGGTTCTCGGCCGGCGCGAGACTGTGGTGGGTTTGATTAGGCCGATGATGACAAACATGACCACTCCAGGGGCTTTGACAGGCGGGTTGTGTCCGCTTTGGCGTTCTTGCGCCAGTGCTGCTCCCCGCCGCCTGGAACAAACAACATGCCAAACATTGTCAAGAGGCCCTTCCATTCACTGCTGTCCCCGCACATACAGAGAGCAGTCGGGCGGCGGTGTCCGCTACTATATACCCGGTGGTGTGCCTACTTTTGTCGGTGTTGCTGCGCCGCACGACTGCTGACCTGCTCATCTGCTGATTTTGACGGAAGCTCTAGTATGTTGGTGCCGTGAACACTGCGGTAGCTTATGGTTTACGCACCTAACCCATGTATGTACTACATGGTCGTAGGGGGCTATTTTTACCGCTCCAGCGGATTGTTGGCCTCGACCCTGGCGTCTTGAGCGTAACGCCGTTCCCCCGCTCTTGGCTCCTTTTGTGTCTTCATGCCTTGTTAGATTCTGATGGCCATCGACGATTCTGAGTCCATGGCGGACTGTGGAGCCGGCGCCCTTGCCCTGGCGGCGATGACGACGGTGGCTTCTGGACTCACTCAGCTCGAGGCCGGGCAACTCGCGGTTGCACGGTAAGATAAGATTTATCCGAAAGCCGTCTCTTGCGGTCAAGCTGTTGGTGTTAAGATGCTGTTGCTTGGTGTGTGTCGGGCGCCCATGTCCTGCGATCGTACAAGTGCACACGTGACGCTCGGAACACACGAAAATTGCTATGGCACCGCTATCGTGTCCGTGTGTTTACGCCGTAGAGTTATTCAGTCTTGAAGGAGAGGACCCACGTCTGCTGAAGATGAGAAGGTTAACTTCCGAGGGCGGCTTGGGCCTATCGGGAGTGAATGAATGTTTGGACCGATAACGCCCCGCACATTGACGGCATCACCAGGTGTTGGCCTGTTTTTTTTTTGTATCTCCTTGGCAAGAATCGAAAGGGCTAGGAGGGGGTTGGCGCATAGACGAAGCTTGACATGTGCAAACAACGAACAGGCGTTTAACTACTCCGCAGTGCCGTGTATCTCGTTTGTGAGGTACACAGTGGCGCACGCGGCGCTACAACCTCGCCGATATTAGACTTCGGGCGGCAACACAGGGCAGGTCCGCGGGGATTCGCTGCGGGCTCGCCTCTAACGCGTCCAACACTCTTGTGTCGTTTGGGCTGTTTTTGATTGTGGGTAGTAAGTACATGGGTAGCTGGTCTTTTGTGCTGCACAGCAGTTGACAGAATTCTTCTGTTTTTTCGCATGCCATGGGCCAGTCCTTTTTTTTTGTGGCTGCGTTTTTCCCAGTCGGTGAGATGTCACATTTGCAACGCTGCGTCGTGTCGTTGGTGTCTTGCTCGTATTGGACAGGTGTGGGCCAAACGTGTTGGTTTTGTCTTTTTTCATCGCGCGTCTCTATCCAGAGGACGTGCCGTGTAAAAGACGGCATCGCAGTGACGTTTCCGTCCCTTTACCTTGTCGGCCTCGAACTTCCCCCTACGATAACGTGTGTGCTCGAAAAGGTTTGGAGAAGACCTTGACCTGCTTCACGGGTTCGGCGACCCTTTCACGGAGGAGGCTGGTGCCAAGCTTGTTGACGGCTTCACCTTCGATCAAAAGTGCACTAACACCGCGCACACCCTCGAAGGCCTCGTGTCTCTGCTGGAGGTGAGCATCGCCACCGCCGCCACATGTTGCCGACCCAGCACGTGCTTTTAGCAGGGATCGTTGTCGTTTGGAAGACCTCAAGTGTGGTGCAGGGGCACGTGCAAACGGCTGTGCAATCTAAATCATTATTGGGTAGGTTCAGCATTGTTGATGAAGACATTTGCACACCGGTTGCATCGTGTCCCTGCCATGCTAGACGTGTGGATTTAACTCCATTGTGTCGACTGCAATCCTTGTGATGACCGTTGTGTGCTCCTGTTTACTGTCTGGTGCCATGGCACGTTGCGTCTTGTCAGGAGGCCCGAAACGGGTTCTCGATGTCATCGGGAGGCGTCGGCAGCAAGGGCACCCCTCGCCAGCTGGTGCTGCTGCTGTCCGATGGCCGATTCGATCGAGAGAACAAGGATCGCTTGCGTAAGCTGGTGCGAGAGATGAACGAGCGGGGGCAGCTGCTTGTGCTCATCGGTAAGTTTGTTCGTTCAATGTTCAACGTTTCCGTTGTCTCCGCGTGTGCCTCCATGACTTCACCACGACGTGTACCATGTAACCTATCGCTAACGATGGGATTGTCCATTGGCCGCGATTTTTTCCGTTGTTTTCTTACGGGGGTTTTATGTCCTGGTTGGTTGTTTGAAGTGCGCAGGCGTCGAGTGCGCTTGTTGTGTAACACCGGGGTGGCAGAGTGCAAACAATGTTGTGTTGGTTGTATTGTTGTGCTCGAGGGTCTAGCTGGGATGCAGGGGTTTACAACGTTGCCTGTACCTCCCAAATACCTCGAGCTAGATCAAACGTGGGGGGCTAGGACTAAGCATCCTAGCCCCTTCGACTCCTTTCGCTATCCCGCGCCAAACGCGATCAAAATGACGCTCTCCCTTTCTGGCGTTGGGACGTAGGAGTTCGGACATGTGTGTGCTACTGACTTCGCATCATGCGTTGGGCTAAAACCAGCACCGAAAGGCGAAGAAACATTTCCAATATTCGATAAATCGGGTTGTACATTTCGGGATTGTGGCCAGAGATTTATATGTTTACCGGGCATTTCACTATTCATGGTCCCAGTATATCGGGACCGCTGCTGCTGTGCATTCATGCTCTGGTGTCGTATACATTGTTGTTGTTGTTGATGTTGTTTCTCACATTAGCTCTAAAAAAGAAAGATTGGGAGCCCGTGGTCNAACCACTCGGAAGAGAAACAAAATGATAGAAAGAAAGACCAGCTACCGCACCAAACGACAAAGAGCGTCGAGGAGACCGATCAAAATAAAATAAAAGGAGAACGGGGAACGCTTCCCACACCCGCCTACAACGCCGGAGGGTTCCGTGCCGGGTTCCCGCCGACCAGGCATCCCCCGCCCTGCACCACACCCCTATACATATATACCGGTGGATGCCTGGTGTTTTTTTCCGTGCTTGCCAGGAGCCTCCTGCTGGCCGCGTTGTATTGTTTGGTTGACCATTGTTGGAGTGACGCTTTCAATGACGGTCGTTATTTCGCGGCCGCTGTGCATCTACAGTTACTGTTGTCGAAACAAACGCGACTATCCGTGGCAACTTGATTACGTGTCGTATCGGTATCAACGGTGTTCGGTATGTTAATACGTCGCGTCATTTAGCTGCGTGGAGCAACTTTATTAAGCACATGGATCATGAAGCGCTTCCGCAATCCACGTTGTTGCCGTTGTCGACGTGCAGTCCTGGACAAGGAAGGTGACACGTCCATCCTCAAGACGAGAGAGGCCACCTACGTCAACGGCAAGCTGGTGCTCAGCAGCTACCTGGACAAGTACCCTTTCCCGCTCTACATCTTGCTCAACCACATCGAGGCTCTCCCAGAAACTCTGGCGGATGCATTGAGGCAGTGGTTCGAGTTGCTGCAGCGTCAGACGGCTCGCTAGGCGTTGGGGTGTATGGGGAGTGGTGTGGCGGCGGTGGTTTTTATGTTTGTACGTGGTTCGAGCGACCATAATGTCGAATGGAGGCTGTGCTTGCGTAACGCTGTCGTGAACGTTATTCGGTCGAAGTCGAAATGATATTTTTGGATGCCGGATATACATGTATCGTATGTGGCATGCGTTGTCGGTATTTTGTTTGGGAGTTTTACCGCGTTCGTTCATTTATTGGCGTAACGTCAGGCAGCGTTTGTCCAGTTTGGTTTTTAACGTTTATGCCTCCTCTGCGCTGTAATGTAGAAAGATTGGCTGGTCGCTCGGTGTTGCGGCCCTTCCCTTGGGACGAGGCCAGACTTCGACCGCTACTGTTGCACCGCCGCGTTTCGTTGTAGAGTATTACCCCGAGTGGATGTGTTTGTGCAAAGTTTGATTGCGGAACCGTCGGTGTGTAGTGGGCGTGAGAAGTGTTCGTGTACAGGTTGGTTTTTTGGTGATGGTTTGATGGTTGCGTTGCGAGACAACGAAAGGAAGGGTGAATGGAGACGAAGTTCGAAGGTGAATCAATCGGTGAACTAATGACATGTGGACGTCAGGCTCCCACATCTGAACAGACATGCGCGAGGTATCATGGATTTGCTTTCTAGTTCCCGGCACGATCATTTGTGCAGGTGAGCGTTGGGCTTCAAGGCAGATCTTGTTACATGGGCTTCCAGCACCCCACTTAAACTCGAGAGATAATTCTCGGGACGCTGTCGACAGCAACTTGAAGTGTACACAAGTTATGTAGTGTCTTGCGGGTCGTTTTGTTTTTCGCACGGGTTGCTGGTCTCGCGCTTGGAATTTGGCGGCGTGGACAAGTACAGAGGAGAGCCACGAAACAAAGAAACAATTCGATCGATCGTCCAGAATGAACCCTTTCCTCGCGGATTACCAATAATATGTACACACTCAAATGTCAACAAGTTCGACCCATTTTTCGGCAGAAGAGCAAATACAAGATTAGTGGGACGTGTCATGGCAATCGAGCGAGCAGTACCAACTGCAGCATCCATGTAGCATGCACACCTTCCGCACAACACTCATGCATTCAACTGTCTAGCGCGGCGCACATAGAGCCAACGTTCCAGCATATGTAGCAGAGGACATTGATCCTAAGCAAGGGACTGAATGCTGACTCGCTCCAAGCTACGATGTCCGCACAACAAGTCTGTCCCTTGACATTATTGTACCCCTTGCCTCACGTTGCTACAAGCCGACAAACCGTCTTGTCCAAAACCAGCAACAACAACGAGACACGAGCAACAAGTACAACAGTATAGCCACTATCAACAAAAGCGCCTATTTGAAGAAGAGCGCTCCCTCAGGATGAGCTGGAGGTCATGACGTCATGGCACGAGCCGGCTTCTGCCCTGGCGCCGCACGCTGTCCCTTGCTCTGCAGCTCGCCTTTAGCGTTCAACATTCAGGCTCTGCCAACTACAATGCAGCGAATGGATACACACACAAGCAGACCATCGGCAGCAGCGGGGTCGTCATCGTCGTCTACGCGAGCAGGAAAATGGGGCATCGGCAGAGCACATGGGCAATTACCCACACTGCAGCCAGTGCTAGTGCCCGACAATCGCGCCACATATATATGTACTCGACATCAGTACGCTGTCATGCTCCACCACACTCATGGTTACCGGGCAGACCCAAGCAAGACGGACGAGTCAAACACAAAAAAAACAGTTGCGACTAGGGTAAATAAACGTGCTTGTTAGCTGCAAAAGGCGAAAAATCTAGAGTGATTGTACATGGGTAGATACTCGGAAGCCCGAAGAAACAACGATAACCGCTGTCTGGATGACAATAATTGATAGGTCACACCAGCTTCCAAACAGCCCGATTTTTTCACGCAGTACACGCGAAAGATGTGCAATAACATTGGTGATGGTGGCTACATGACATACATACGGAAGGGCCTTCAGGCTTCTAATCCAGGTCTTCTGTGCTCCCGCCAAAGACAACAGTCCCACACTCGTAAATCAGCGTTGTATGCTGGACACGGTCTTACCGCTGTAGCACATCAAGCCTGATCACAATGGATGGGGGACGGTCCCATAAAGCTGCAGCCGCCGATCTTGCGTTGTTGTGACCAGTCATCAACCCCGAAGGAATGTAGACCCCGCCCTGTCGGGGGAGGCTTGTATTGGGGTGTATCGTGCTGAGATTGCAATCCATCGCGGATATAATCTTGGTCGTTGTGGTGCGAATGACCCCTCTGCTGCCCGTGACGGCTTTCCATGTCAAAGCCGTGGTTGCCGTCTCGACTGTTGAAGTACGAGGTCGAATCGTTGTTGATGTTGTGGTCGACGCGAAGGTGATCAGGATGACGGCGGTAGTCACGCCCGTCACCTGCGAAAAACGTACCGGTGGAACGACCGCGAGCATGGTACCCATCGATGGATTCCGTAGCAATAGCCATCGCGACAGGAACAGACTCGCTCACCCTCCCGAACGCACCTCGTGCGGGCGCGTCCTCAAGCCCTTCTTTCATCGACCAGCCGGTCCCAATGCCATCCCAGTTCCTGCCGGCACCACAGGTGAAAGGCTCCTCGCGCACCCGGAAAGGGCGTCGTTCCACGATCCGTTCTTCTGTGCGGAACGGTTGTTGGTGGCAGTGTTTCTTGCGGAACGGTTCTTCACGGAACGATCTGCTACAAGCATGGTCAGGTCCTTGGCGGTAGAAGTGTCCCTCGGACCCGTACGACGTGGTTGGAGGAGGAGGAAGATCAGAACGAGCAAGAGGACGAGAAGAGGAACGTGTTCTTCGATCGTTTTCTTCAGCTGCGGTCGCGTGCTGCAGGCTGTCGCAGCTCGTAGGAGTGACCGTCGGATCCCCCCGCAAAATATCTGCTGTTGCGATCCCTCTCTGGTCATGCCTGCTGTGCGCACCTCCCATGCGGATTTGAGGCATGGCGGTCTCTCTCGTTCCTATTCCCTGAGATATTTCACGGAAATTTTCACCGGGGATACGAGAGCTTCGATCACGAAAGTCGCGAAGAAAAGGTCTTGGCTCTGCTTCTTCTATCGGCTTATTCGCCCCGGCTCGACAGTACCTTGGACTACCGATCACCGCCATGCCGGTGTCGGGTCCAGAAGGGGCGATAACTGTCCAACGTTGCTGATGGCACCGCTGCTGGTCTCGGTGCTGTTGCTGCTGGTGGTGGAGGTCATGCTGCTGCTGCTGCTGCTGCTGCTCGTGCGGGTGCCGGTACGTCTCATTGTTAACCGCTGGGGCTGCCCGCACCGCGAATTTTTCCCCCCTGCTGCCAACCTGGTTTCGGCGAAAGCGATGGGGGTACCCCTCTACGTGCGTGAACGTCGAGGACGGGGACGATTGTCGCGATTCACAACCACCGTGGGGAAAAAAATTACCATACCCGTGATCGATCCCACCACCGCCGCCGTTCGATGCAACCCTATCCTCGTGCTTTACAACGGGTGAATACGGTTGGGGGCCCAACACATTGCCAGACGGGCCCAGATGTTGCCCAGTCGCAACCCTGTGAGCGATGCTGGAACGATGAGTTTCGTGAAGCCTCTTGCGGCTAGTTCCCGCTCGCGTCGGAGAGGAATTCTTCGCGGTGGTGTCGGGGTCGATGTTGACGGTGTTGTCGCCAAGCATGTGCCGAGGAGGTCTTTCCCCGTGAGTTGCTGGATGGCGTCAATCCACGATACAGCACAGAGAGTGGGATGGGTGGGTTACGATGACAGGGACAGGTTTGTGCGCAATATGGCACGAGGAAATTTTCGGCAAACAGTCAGTTCTCAATTGTTACTCTCGGTATGAGCCATACAGACAGCCATGTCGTCAAATTTTCTCACGGGACTCGAAAGACCCATGCTTTCCTTGGGGGCCACGGCTCAGCCCACGCGAGCGAGCAAATAGATGGGGGATGGCCAGCGTCATGGACATGATTCCCGTGTTTGCTTGCTTCTCGCCGATGTCGTGTTGTTCCCATGTTTTGGTGCGCGTGTGTTTTGCCAATATTTATTTTTAGAACGTTCAAGAGTCTACTATTAGACTATCGATCTCTATTATTATCTCTTTGGGCTTCATTTCCTGGAGCAGGTTTATCTGTGAGGAACATATTGACGTGCTTTCAGAGAGACAACACGTGACGGTACATAATCTAGAAACGGGGCGAAGGTCCGACAAGTAGGATGGCGAGCAAGCTTCAAAAACAAGTTGTCGGCAAACTCGGGTCCTTTCGCTGCAATCGATGTTTAGCGGAAAGATGTGCCTGCCGCGGTTTCTTTTCGCCCACAGCACACCCATAACAACATTCCGTATTGCTTTGCATACATCGTTGCTGCAGGGCTTCGAGAGTGTATTTTAGGCCGGTACTGGATGGTTCGGGCCCACTTGTCAGCTCTGTGCTCCTCGACCAACACCGGGATCTATGAGCTTCCGAAGTCTTGCGTTGTTTTATTTCTGCACAACCCGTGTCTACTCCTCCTCCTGTACCCGGGCATGCGTCGTTCAGGACACTTCTGTAGTGTAGAGTCGGTCGCGGGGGTTCGGACGTTGTGTCTTGCTGGCAAAGGGCAACACGTACCCAGTTGAGATGGAAGTGTTTTTGCTGGACAACGCAAGGGTGCAGTAGAGCTTGTAAAGATTTTTGTTTGCATCACCGTTCGGTGTACCCCCGTGAAGGCAAGCAACCATTGACACACACAGACGATGTGCACCTAAAATGTTCTACAGGTTGGCGTACAGGTCGAGGTCTGAGAGCCCACCTCAAAGGAAGTCAAGCATGCATTGCTTCGTAGCTCACACAAGAGTAAGAAATCGCCAATTGAAGTACGCTGATTTGTGGTCGCTCCTGGTCTCAGCCTTTGCCACAAACGCGTGGACCACCTGATCGCTTCTTCTGTGAAGAAAAAAACTGCCGTTCCGCATGAATCTTACCCGGATCTTCCACGGTAGACATGAGCACGCTCAGTTTGTTCTCTATCGCCGCTCGATCTTGCCCCAGTGCTCTTAACTCGA